ACATTTTTCGAAATGAAAAAAAAATTAGCAGAAATTTTTTCGTAATGAAAAAATTTTCAGGACTGAAGGAGACTGGACTGTAGAAGACTATCTTTACGACACATGACTACCTTCATATCTAGTTTATAGAAAGCTCTTTTTACAGTTCGCCTGCGACACACAACCTCTACAGATCTTCTATACGGACAATTCAATACATCCAGCGATGTATCCAGAAACCCATTTTGAAAGCACCCCGAGGGGTCAGAATAGCAAAAACTGATCTTTTCCATAAGAAACGTACAAAAATGGTCCGAATCATGAACATTTCCGATCATTAGTTCCGATTTAGTTCATTTACATAGACTTCCATCATTGCTCATTTGTAAAAGGTACATATTTTCTTTCATTCCCATAACAGATCTTTATAGGAGAAATGTTATCAGACCATTCATTTAGGTTTCCAAAGACTTGTACATAAAACATACGCCATTTTTTTTTTTTTTTGTGAAAATATAGGATTATTCTATATTTTTGCTTGCATACTACAATCAATAAACTTTACATGAAAAAAAAAAATATTTATTTTCTACTAAATTTTCGCTATAAGTCCAGCATTTACCTTTTTAATAATAAGAAAATTAAAAGAAGCGAAATCAGAATAAAGCCGGATTTGATGAGAAACAAAAATCAGAGAACTTCTTTTTCGATTTCAAATATTTTTAGGAACTCAATTACCCATAAATATGACCTAACAATTCAGTAGAAACGTTTATTTGTTTTAAACGTTGTCGTTTGCCATCGAAACACCGAAAATCTTTGTTTATGGCATTTCTGCAAAGCATACTTTTAGGCGCATAGTATAAGCATACCAAAGGAGTGAACTTGATAAATTAGGAATGTAATTTGTAACGAGCAAAATAGTATCAGTCAGTTTTTCCGACAGATGTATACTCTAAGACTTGAGTTATGATTATTCAAACTGTAGACACTTTCTCAAGGAGGTTCCGAAGCAGTTGGCCAATATTGATCAATTCATATCTGACCTAAGGGCGGGAATACATAAAGCGCTTATTTGGCTGGCTTAAGTCGTTGGCTGGCGTCTTCGGAAATGAACAAAGGAGCCTAGGGTCAAAATCGAAGAAGCCAGCCAAATAAGCGCTTTATGTATTCCCACCTTAAGACTGGTATAAATATTACAACGTGCCAGATAAATGAGATATGCGCAAATTTTGGAAAATGTGGAAATATGCATGAGGTAACAGATGTAGCGGATCGATGAATACCATTTTCATACGTCATCTGTTATCGATAAATATATTGGTATGTCCAAAATTTAAAGGAAATCGAAAATTAATATCCATTTTTATGTGAAATCATAAATTCGGATAAATTATATTTCTGGTTAAGGGAACCATTTAAATATAGCAAATTGTAAAGAATCGCCGACTTGTTTAGCAAGTTATGGCAGATAAAAGTATTGAAAATTGTGACCCTTTGTGGGTGAGGTACCAGAAGGGGTTGACAGATGCATATTATCTTCACAACAGATCTTGTGTTAGCAAATTTGTGAAAATTGAAGAGAATTGGATGATTATTTCGTTTTCTTTGAGCGTTTTGTTTTACAAAATCTTAAACCCGATCTCTAACATCATTATAACAGCTCTTGTGTTAATCGAAATATTGCGATGTACCAAATCTGAATGGAATCGGATGTTAATTTCGCGTTTTATGAGCTTCGTAGATATTTAGGTACCACCATCTTTATAACAGATCTTGTGTTGATGAAAATATTGAGACATGCCAAGTCTGAATGGTATCGGATGTTAATTTCGTGTTTTATGAGCTTCGTGAATATTCAAAATGTTGACACTTTGTGGGGGAGGTACCAGGAATAGTGGACCGATATATCCCATCTTCACAGCAGATATTGTGTTAGCGGAAATAATGGGATGTGTGAAATATTAAGAGAATCGGATGCTTATTTCGGATTTTATGTTCATTTTTGTTATTCAAAACTTGGACCCTTTGTGGAGAAGGCACCGGAAGGAATGGAAATATTGTGATTTGTGAAATTTCAAGACAATCGGACTCTTATATCCTATTTTATAAGAGTTGTAATTATTCAAAATTTTGACCCTTCGTGAGGGAGGTACTTGATGAAGTGGACCGATATTATCCATTTTCGCCTTTGACATAGCACTGATGCAAATATTAGGATTTCCAAAGTTGGAGCAAAATCAGAGAAAGGATACTCTTTCTGTGCAAAAAAAAATATTTTCTTTGAAAATGTTGACATTTTGTGGGGGAGGTACCAGAAGAAGTGGACCGATATTGCCCATCTCCGAACTTGATCTAAGTTTGATAATAATATTACGATGTACCATGTTTGGACTAAATCGGATACTCCTTTCGAGAGTTATTGTGCGTACAAGCCAGCCAGCCAGACGGACGGACATCGCTAGATCGACTCCAAATGTCCTGAAACGGATTTGGTCCAAAGAGACCTATGGTCTTATTTCTATGAGGCACGTTTTGGCCGTATCATATGATATAGTATACGCTCTCTAGCCATGATCCTGCAATATTCTACTAGTTTTGCAATTTGTTTCTCATATGATGAATGGAAAATGGGTTATCGTACTAAAATCTTTTACATTCTTGCAGTCCTGGAATAGCCCAAAAGTGTTTTCATCAAAAATTGTATCTGTATTTATTTCTTAGGAACCACGCTACAATAACATAAGTCAGAATAAAACTTTCAGGTAAGCACGACTTTTTCTTTTGGTGGCCCTATTCTGTCAAAACATATGCACGATATGTTTATGCGTGTATTTGCTTGAAAAATTCCATCATGGGCGCAATATGCTCTGATTTCTTCAGCCAGAGAGAAAATCCCTTTCAAAATAACAGTCAAAATATCATCCGATAACCGATAACGATAACTTACTCACACTAATATCATATGGCAACAAGAACACATCTCACTCGCCAATATGGCAACCCCCCTGGACATTTTCTCTCTTAATATTTTGACACTTGCCTCCAGTGTTGCCGTTTTGGGCGTTTCCGTCCAAATTTGGGCGGAAAAAAGATAAATTTTGTGGTTTGGGCGGATTTTGGGCGGATTTTTTCCATATTGGGTACAAATTTATTTTTCATTGTTTATTTTTATGTAATTTAATTTTTTTTATTACTAACTGAATTTTATATTTTTTTTATTGAGATGAATCGTTATTTATTTTATAGATTTTTGTTAAGTTTTTTAATAATATATATATATATATATATATAATACATTAGGCTATAGTCGTGCGGGGCCGACCATGTGATACCCTACAACACTACAATATGTTAGAAGCCCCCTCATGTCCAAATCCATTTTGAAAGATTTCGCTTTTGAAATTATGTCACGGAGCACTCCAACATACAGAGTTGTCCATATTCGACGGACCCATCTGGCAACGCCATAACTTTTGACAAAGATGTCACATCGCTTAATGACATACTGCGTTTGAAGCGTCAGTCCAAGCAGATTTTTACCATGAACCAATACACGCCACGCGAAATAGTTGAAATTTACATTTAACAGAAGAAGTCAATTATGAAAACTCAACGTGCATTTAAAACATTAAAAAATGTGAGAAGTGCGCCTTCTAAGAGCACCATTAGGCGTTTATACGAAACATTTTCGACTGGTAAGGCTCTTTCTAATCCGAAGAGGCCATATAAAAGTCGACCAAGGCGATCGGCCGAGAATATCGCTGCCGTACGAGCCAGTATTGAGAGGTCCCCAAAAACATCCCAAAAACGCCCTTCTCAGCAGTTGGGCATGGTTCGGTCCACTTTACAACGGATTATTCGCATTGATTTGCATTTGTTCCCGTACAAAATTCAATTGACACAAAGAATGTTGCCTGCGGACAAGACTCGTCGATTGGAATGGGCCCAAAGAGTCATGGGTCCGTCGAATATGGGCAACCCAGCATTTTGACCAGGGACATTTTCCCAATATTTATGCACTCCGTCGTGCTGTAAGTTTTTGTGGTCCACTTTACGGCTAAATATATTCCAATGGTCATCCAAAATGCCAGAATTCTTCCCTGTGCTTACCTATCTTTTCAGTAGTATAAGTCAAATTGAAAAAATCGCATGCGATAAAAATATGAAAAAAAAAAATATAAGAGGGCATTCTGAATTGACAAAATTTGACGAAATCGGTACAATCTTGAGATATAAGCATTCTAGCTAACATCCCCCTCCCTCTTATATATACATTGTATATATTTCGCTATAAACATCCGATATATTTACTATCGGCATCTACGTAACGGTCAGAGTTGATCTGTTCGTCTAGTTGTGATTTCGCCGGGATTAAAAATTTTCGCGGTTTAATGAAAAATTTGACTTTTATTTAACACAAATGTTGTGGCCTATTTCAACCACTAAATATTACCCGATGACCATCTAAATTGGAAGGCTTCTGTCCAGCCCTAAGCTCTAGCCCCATGCTAACTTTCGTGTCGATTGGTCTTTAATTGCCACCTGTAGATCAACTGCAAAATCAGTAATTTTTTCAGTTTTTGGTCCATTTCAACCCCTAAATATTATGCAATCATCTCCAAAAGAAATAAGGGTTATTCTGACCCGAGCCCCCCCCCCCCCCCCCCCCCAATTTCGTGAAGATCGGACATTAATTGCGACATTGAGAAAATAATAATTTGATTGTTGTTTTACTTCAAGTTTATATATATATATATATATATATATATATATATATATATATATATATATATATATATATATATACTAAATTTTTATTTTCTCTAATGTATTTAATACATTGAATGTAATAAAACTTGAGTACCTTCTTTATGTATATTGTAAAATTTTTCAACTTTTTATAGTTTGGGCGGATATGGTCGATTTTGGGCGGTTTTTATAAAAAATTTGGGCTGAAATAAAAATTTCTAACGGCAACACTGCTTGCCTCGGCAATCACATAATCATCGGAAATTTTTCAGATTGTAAGAGAAATTAGCGGTGTTAAGAAGTCTCAAGCAAAAGCGGCGGCAATTTTGTCCAGAAAGCAAGAACATTGCATCAGCAACTTGATTGATTTCATTTTGATTCTTTCTCGGAGTGTTTATCAATTAAAAGTTCCAGTGAAATGTTGGCTCGTTTGGTCACAAAACAGCGGCAGCTATTCCATGTACGCAACTTTGGCCAGTTGACGTCGGCGGCAGCATACAGAGTAGCTTCTCCGAGTAACACGGCACTGATAGCAAGAAGGCCATTCAATGTTCATCTACAACGGCAGCAGCAACAACAACAACCATGGAGGACGGCAATAGGGGCCGTATGTTCGAGAACATATTGCAGTAGCAATAATAAACAGGGCGAAGATGAAGATCTTTTGGATTCACAAGATTTCATTGTCAACAAAGATCAAAAGTTGCCGGCCACTGTGGCAGTGCCCGAGGTATGGCCACATGTTCCACTGCTGGCAACACATCGTAATCCGGTCTTTCCTCGTTTCATGAAAATCATGGAAGTGAGTATTGCCATCGCTTATGTAAAATTTGGGAGGGGTGTTTAAACATGTTTATTTTGGTTTCATTTAGATCACAAATCCCCAATTAATTGATTTAATTAGACGTAAAGTGACCTTAAATCAACCGTATGTTGGTGTGTTCCTCAAAAAAGATAGCACAAATGAAGCGGAAGTTGTACAAAAGTTGGATGATGTCTATAAGGTGGGAACCTTTGCCCAGATCCAGGAATTGCAAGATCTTGGCGATAAATTAAGAATGGTTGTGGTGGCCCACAGGCGGATAAAGATAACAGGGCAAATTTTGGAAGAATTATTGCCACAAGGTAAAGAACAAAACAAGACAAATTAGATGTAACTCCTCGAGTCATTTCGTATCATAATTCATGTTCTTCTCATATTTCCCCAAAACATTCAAAACTCAGCTGTCATTTGGAGATTTCTAAGAGAAATCGGCGGCAAAGAGCGACCAAAATTACTCTTTTTGTCTAGGGTTGCCAAAATTTATTATAAATGACAAATTGAAACCTGGGGAAAATGTTTCCCTCATAGCAGATCTGTAGAAGGTCCTCTAATCATATCAGTCCTTTTAGTGGATTATAGAATCCATTTCACCATAGACGTCCTTGGCATCTCTTTACTTTGCAATGAAGATCCTTTAGAGGACTACTCTAAACCGTTGAATTTCCCTAAAAATTGTGTACTCCCCTTGAAACCCTTTTGGAGACATAATGAAAAGAGAATTCCATTGAAGGACCTCTACTTACCCAGAAGCCTTCAGCTCCTATTTTGATCGCAGAAGAAATGTTAGTACTTTTTATTCCCTATGGAATTCTTTTGAAGATTGACATTACACCCTAACACCTATTTATTATAGATGCTCTATGAAGGAAGTCTCTTGGCGGCAATAGAACTCTTTTAAAAATATTCTTTTGAATGCAGAAGCCTGTTAAGATATTTTTTCCTGAAAAGCCCTTTGCAAGCCAATTGGACATAGAATCCCATTAAAGTGCCTCGACAGCCCAATGAAGTTATTTGAACATCTTCACGGTACAATATAATTCCTTTCGATATTTTCGATGTACCATATGCCTTCTATTGACCACAGAACCCCTTAAAGGCTTTACAGGTAACGTAGGCATAGAAGTAAATTGAAGACATTTAAGGTCTTCCACAAAAATGTGGAAGTCATTTAAATATTTTTAATTGTTAGTTGATTGCTTTCTCTTGTCCTTATAATCTTATAAATCACATACGCTCTTAGAAGACATTTAATCGAGACTGGATAAACCCTTCCAAGATGTTCCTTTGGCCATAGAAGCTTTTAAAGACCTCCAATTGTCCAAGAAAAGACTTGTATAAACAGTGCCTTCCCTTAATTTTACAAACTCTTTGAAGTCTTTCTATTGGCCATATGTCATCTATTAACCATAACAGGTCTATTAAAAATCCTTTTTCCTCTTTATTATCTGTCTTTCCCCCCATCACCTCACACCATGTATTCTCCCCCCATAATCGGAGTACACATTTTATGTATCTCTACTGTCTCCTTACTACGAATTTCTTTTATTCAGAAAAAACAACAACAATACATTATCCACTATTTAATATTAAAATGCAAATACCAGCTGATGAAACAGCTCAGACTGGTAGTGGCAGCAGTAAATCATCCGCAGATCTTGAACGTCGTAAAATGGCACGAAAGGCCAGAACAGGTCGTTTACAGAAACGTGAAGTTCCACCAGAAACTACCTCAACCACGGAGACATTGTATGATGCCAATGTTGTGAAAACACCAACAACGCCAGAAGATGCTAAAGCAGGCTCCACCGAAAATGTTGCTCCCAAGGAAAAGGAGGCCGCTGAATCAACGACTACCACAACTGAAACTGAAGCTGAAACCCCCTCAGATCCTCTGCCGGTCTTAATGGTTGAAGTTGTCAATGTTAAACATGATAATTTCAAACAAACCGAAGAGATTAAGGCCCTGACTCAGGAGGTCATAAAGACCATACGGGATATTGTCATTATGAATCCTTTGTATAGGTAAGCATGTTTAAAAAAGGAATATATGTATTTTGGAGTTAATATTTTTTCCTTCTTTTGCAGAGAGAGTTTACAACAAATGTTGCACCAAAATCAACGTGTGGTTGACAACCCCGTGTATCTTTGCGATTTGGGTGCCTCTTTGTCGGCTGCTGATCCCGAAGAGCTGCAAAAAGTTATGGAAGAAATGGATGTAAGTATGAACAATTTACATAGATTTTAAAATGCTTACCTTAAGAAGAACATTAAAATACTTTGGGTTTGTAGAAGACTCCGAAAGGTGTTATAAAATTTATAAAAAAGTTTATAAAGTCCTGATATTGTCCTTAAAAGCCAGTAGGACTCATGAAATCTCCAGCAGGAAATAAAAGTCCCTTTAAAAATCTCCAATTGAAAACTGCATATCTCCTGTGGAATAGTAACACATGGAACATCACAAATAGGTCATCTGGTGGACGTAGTTGCCTTTTAATGACGTCCTATCCATGAAATAACTTTAAAGGACTCCTTCAAAGGTCTCTCAGTCCTTTAGGTCTTTAAAGGTCTCTCATTAAAAAACATGAATCCTTCGAATGTTTCCTATTGAACATACCACCCTCTTGATGGTCTCCCATTAAGCAGAACAGTCTCTCAAATATGTTTTCAGTTGAACATAACATCAATTTATAGATCTCTTGTGGAAAATTACATCCTCTTTAAGTTCTCCTATCAAACATTGGAGCATTTTGAAGACCAGACCTGTTCATGACAGATTTTTAATTGCCCCTTTCTCTTGCCCATATAATAACTTATAGGCCGTACAAAGACCTTCTTTTGAATATTTCAGAACCACATTCATTGATTCTTCATTCTAATTCCCTTTCCTCTTTTTTTACCCCTACCCATAGATCACCAAACGTCTCCATCTGGCTTTGGCCATTTTGAAAAAGGAATTGGAACTCTCGAAACTGCAACAGAAAATTGGACGCGAAGTAGAAGAAAAAGTCAAGCAGCAACATCGTAAATATATTCTACACGAACAATTGCGAGCCATCAAAAAGGAATTGGGCATTGAAAAGGATGATAAAGATGCCATTGGTGAAAAATATCGTGAGAAACTCAAAGATAAAAATGTACCCGAAAATGTTATGGCCGTCATCGATGAGGAACTGAATAAGCTGAATTTCTTGGAATCACATAGTTCAGAATTTAATGTTACCCGTAACTATTTGGATTGGTTGACAACCCTGCCATGGGGTGTTTCTAGCGAAGAAAATCTTAGTCTGGAACAAGCCACAGAAATTCTGGATCATGACCACTACGGCATGGATGATATTAAGAAGAGAATTTTGGAATTTATTGCCGTGTCACAGCTAAAGGGCACGACACAGGGTAAAATTTTGTGCTTCCATGGACCACCGGGTGTGGGTAAAACCAGTATTGGTAAGCGGAAATACATTTGAACTCCTTTAGAAAAAGTATTTAAACGTTATGGGTTATTACAGCTCGTTCCATTGCCCGTGCCCTGAACCGAGAATATTTCCGTTTCAGTGTGGGCGGCATGACCGATGTGGCCGAAATCAAGGGTCATCGCCGTACTTATGTGGGTGCCATGCCTGGCAAGGTAATCCAATGCATGAAGAAGACCAAGACTGAAAATCCTTTGGTACTTATCGATGAGGTGGATAAGATTGGACGGTGAGCTACCCACACTTTACTAAATAATAATTTATAAATTATATTTCAATTTCATTTTCAGGGGCTACCAGGGAGATCCTAGTTCAGCCTTGTTGGAACTTTTAGATCCTGAGCAAAATGCCAATTTCTTAGATCATTATCTCGATGTTCCCGTGGATTTGTCTCGTGTTCTGTTCATTTGTACCGCCAATGTTATTCACACCATACCCGAACCGTTGCGTGATCGTATGGAACTAATTGAAATGTCCGGTTATGTGGCTGAGGAAAAGGTTGCCATTGCCCGACAATATCTCATCCCACAAGCCATGCGTGATTGTGGTGTAGATGAAAAACAACTCACCATTACCGATGATGCTTTGAATACTCTAATTCGCAGTTATTGCCGTGAATCCGGTGTTCGTAATCTCCAGAAACAGGTTGAGAAGGTGGTGCGAAAAGTTGCCTTCAAATTGGTACAAAAAGAAGGTGAACATTTCGAAGTGAATGCCAGCAATTTGACCACATTCTTGGGTAAACATGTCTTCTCATCCGATCGTATGTATGAACAAACTCCACCCGGTGTTGTTATGGGTTTGGCATGGACAGCAATGGGTGGTTCAGCATTGTATATTGAAACGGCCCCGAGATCATTGGCCAAATCCTCGAAATCGGAAGGTGCAAGTGGTAGTGTGAATGTCACCGGCAATTTGGGTGATGTCATGAAGGAGTCAGCACAAATAGCTTTAACCGTGGCCAGAAATTATATGAGCACTGTGGATGCCAGCAATAATTTCCTAGATACCACGTAAGTATGAAGATGTTAGCTATGGGATATTTTTTGAAAAAGGACTTTAATGGCTATAATCATGGTTTATAAGGACGATTTCTCATAGTCATCTTTTAAGGAAAAAGATCATTTTTTAAACATTTTTTAAGAAGGTCCTTAAGCACTTCTCTAAAATATGCAGGTCCTTAAATGGGTATAGAAGTCCCTTTATGACGTTTTATTTGAAATATAAGACCTTTAATGGTATCTGTGAACGAAATAGTACCTTCATCGGCCCTATTTTAAAAAATGGAAGCCCTTTTATCGATCTTATATTAAAAGTAGAAGCCCTTTGATGGTCTTTCATAAAAAATAAAACCCGTCTTTCGGTTTTCTATTTAAAGCAGAAGCCCTTCAAAGGTCTTCTATTAAAAATAGATGCATATTACCTGCGGTCTTCAGAAAATAGGAGCCATTTAATGGCATTTCTTTGAAAATAGCCCGTTTCTGTTAAAAATATGAGTCATTGAACAGCCTACTATGGAAAATAGAAGCTCTTGGACGGCTTCCTTTTGAAAATGTCTGCTATTGAAAATACAAACTCTGGAACGGCTTTTCGGGGGTGTTATTGGAAAAGTCCTTTACCGATCTATGGTTGAAAATTTAAGGTCTTCCAGTAGCCTTTCATCTGTCTTCTCTTCCTTTAACTATCTTCAATCTGAAATAGAAGCCTTTTTAAAAATGTTTCGAAGCCCTCTGTTTTTATGCCTAAGAATAGAATGGTCCTTGATAGCCTAAAAAGGGCTTTAAACATCTCCTCTTTATTTAATTTTGAAATCAAAGCTATTATCCGCTGTGAATTTTATTAATTTTTTCAGCAATGTTCATTTACACGTTCCTGAAGGTGCCACACCCAAAGATGGACCCAGTGCAGGTGTGACCATAGTTACGGCCCTTATGTCCTTGGCTTTGAATAAACCGGTAAGGCAAAATATTGCCATGACTGGTGAAGTTTCACTGAAAGGCAGAGTATTACCTGTGGGTGGCATTAAGGAGAAGACAATTGCAGTAAGTATTCCCAATACATCGTCTATTCCTTGTTTGTCACAACTAATTCTCCTTCTTTTCCTCTCTCTCTATCTCAGGCTAAACGTAGTGGCGTCACATGCATCATTCTACCCGAAGAAAATCGCAAAGATTACGATGAACTACCCGCCTTTATAACAGATGGTCTTGAAGTTCATTTTGCCTCTGTCTATGATGATGTCTATCGAATTGCTTTTGGCCATGCAGAGGATCAGAAACAGCAACAACAACAGCAGCAACAATAATATTAGACTAAATACGAATACATTGCGTTATTAATGCTAAGCATTATACGAGTTTATATTTTTAAATGAAAAAAAAAAACACTTAATTTGATTTTGTTTCGTTTTCTATTGACTTTGCTTTCTTTCTCAGACACGACCATTATTTAATTGTATTATATTGTAAGAAACTGTTATACTTTAACTGTTTTTATTACATTTATTTTTTTACAATTTTCTTGTAAAAAAAATGAAATCCCCAAAAAAAACAAATCTTTACTATAGTGAGTATATGTTGTTAATAATATAAAAATACGAAGGTAATAATAGTTATATAATAATAAATAAAAATATAGAACACATGTGGCCACAGTGGAAATTAATGTGAACCTTTTTTTAGTCTACCCTGGGGTCGGGTGATAACTGTAGAAGGCTTCAAGAAGTCATCTTGATAAATACGGAATATTCTAAAAATCTAATACTTCAAAAAATGATATTAGTATTTATTCCATTTATGGAAGATCTATTTAGAATCTTAGAACATTAGAGGACAATGTAGCCCAAAACGAATAGTTTTTCTTCCCATAAATAAATGTTAGTTAATTTGTATGGTAGAGCTTACTTCATCTGCTACACAGGTTGTCTTCTTAATCTTCCTTTAGTATATGTTCAATTATGGGCTGGTGGCTATATCTGATGCGATTTACAGGTGAAATGTGGACACTATCGAGCTCTAGTTTGTCTCCTATATTCGTCATTTAGGAGTCGCATCGACGCAGATACTGGGACAATGAACTGTCAAACCAATTTTGAAATAGAAAATTTTGAATGAAAAATTATTCAAATTCGTTAAAGTTGTTGAAAGATGCATATCATCATAACACCCTCCGATTGGTGTCTTATAAGAAAACTTAAAAATCTACTTATTTTTAAAAAAATATTTTTAAATTTTTGACTTGTCAACGCTTGGGAACATTGATTAATATGTCAAAATTTTTTAAACTTTTAGTCAAAAATAAGTATATTTCCATTCTTCTACGAAGCAAATCGAAGAAGCCAGCCGATGACTTGTACTCTCACCTCTGCAAAAAGCCTTCTATCGACTTGAACCTTATAAGCTCGTGTCAAACATATTCTGCTTATAACCTTTACAAAAAATGAAAAACATAAAAATAGGGGAGAGAAGTCGCACAAATTTCAAAAAGTCACAAAATCTTTTAAAAAGTTTTACACAAAAACACAGGGTGTCAAAAAGGTCACAAATTGCAATTTTAGTCGCACAACGGTAACCCTGAAGGTCGGCAAGTAAGTCCATCTCATGGATGAAGAATACAAGTAGTCGCATCAACACAGCTGCTTGGACAATGAACTGTGAAACTGGAATTTTGGAATTGAATATATTGAATGATAATTTATTGAAATTTGGAAAAATTTTAAAATTTTTGACATTTCAATGTTCCCAAGCGTTGTTGCATCTACCTGTATTCTTTTACCATGCTTGGTACATACCATGGTAGAAGAATATAGGTAGACGCATCGACACAGCTGCTGTGACAATGAACTGTCAAATCAATTTTTTAATTGAAAATGTTGAATGAAAAATTATTTAAATTTGTAAAAATTGTTGAAAAACGCGAATTATAATAGCATCCGAATGACATCTTATAAGAAAACATTTAAAAATCTACTTATATTTGAAAAAACATTTAAATTATTTTCACATATCAATGCTCCCAAGCGTTGATGCATCTACCTGTATTTTTCTGCCATGGTACATACACAAATCATAGATGCCAACCTGTTTTCTAGGCATTGAAATCTGGCAAGGTAAATTATAGTAAAATGCAGAGATGGATATGCTTATCAGAAATAACTTTCCCTTCTTAATTTTATCATCCTTGTTCTATTGTTTTCTAGCAATATTCATTTTTTCTTCTTTTCTATATGTTCGTGGCTCCAAAAAAGTTTAGAATTTGATAGTATCGAAAATAACCAAACCTGTGCCTGTGATAGTTAAATGCCACACTCATTGAAGATAGTTTGTCTTGTGTAAACGTTATGTTAGAACCGCAATAAAGGATATTTGTCATAACAGTTTTGTTATTTATTCAAAATCGTACTTATTCTAAATCAAATTATGCAACTTAATCTAATTTCTTTAATGTATATATATGACAATAATAAAATACGGCATATCACTTTACTGTTACACAACTTATACATCAGAATTTTCAATAATCCAATGTAAATATTTATCGACTCGGGTATACATGCCCGGACGATTGGGTTCACCACAACGAATACCCCAGGAAACTACACCAACGGTTACCCAACGTCTATTGGGTAATTGAACCAGCAGCGGACCGCCACTGTCACCTTGGCACGAATCTTGACCACCTTCAGGGTAACCAGCACAGAGCATAGTATCGGGTACACGTTCCACAATGGCATCACGGCAATCTTGTATTTTCCAAATGGGTAAGGAAGCCTAAATGTAAAAAAATGATAAAAGTGATCAGATTAAATCCTATGATATTCAGTCAGTGGTGGAATTATCTAACTAATTTTTTGAGTTAAGGTGAGAGTACATAAAACGCTTTTTTGACTGGCTTTAGTCATCGGCTGGCTTCTTCGGAAAGAACAAAGAAGCCTAGGACCAAAATCGAACTAAGTCAACCTAAAACTCCTTTGATCCTCTACGAAGAAGCCAGCCGATGATTTAAGTAAGTCAAAAAGCCCTTTATGTACTCTCCCCCCTTACCGGCAAAAATCGGTAAAATAATATTAGTTTCGGCATTGCAAAATGAAAGAGATAATCTCATTTGCCAAATTGGGTAATGGCAACCCTTTTTTATGTTGGAACCATGGTAGAAGAATAAAGGTAGTCGCATCGACGCAGCTGCTGGGACAATAAACTGTCAAACCAATTTAGGAATTGAAAATTTTGAAGGAAAAATTATTAAAATTTGTAAAAATTGTTGAAAAAATACATATTATGAATACCTTCGATTGGCGCCGTATAAGAAAACATATAAACATCTACTTGTTTTTTGACAAAACATTTTAAAAATTTGGACATGCATATCAACGCATTTGAACATTGAGAATATGTGTATTCTTCTACCATGATTGGAACTCATTTATGGTTTATATTTTATTCCATAAATATTTACGTAAGACGAGTGGCATTTTATATTATTTTTTTTTCTTTTTTTGTAAAATTAGATAATAATGCCTTCTGATGTTTTGATTGAATCATGGCAGAAGAATACAGGTAGATGCATCAACTCTTGGGAGCATTGATATGTCAAAAAAATTTAAATATTTTTTCAAATATAAGTAGATTTTTATACGTTTTCTTATACTACGTCATTCGGGGGCTATTATAATTCGCGTTTTTCAACAATTTTTACAAATTTAAATAATTTTTCATTAAACATTTTCAATTCCAAAATTGCTTTGACAGTTCATTGTCCCAGCAGCTGTGTCGACGCGTCTACCGATATTCTTCTACCATGGATTGAATGGAACAATTTTTGGATGTTTTAAATCTGATCGGATCACTTTATCGGTAAGAGCAATCTTTTAATTTTCTATAATCCATACTATTCTCGAAGGGAGAATTTTTCATTACTAATTTTGAAAGTTGGATGTCGTCTTTGAAATATTTTGAAAAAAAAAATTGTATATCATATGTTAACATGAGATTACCTTGCATAATTATACCATGTAATTTCAATAATTAAAGACATTTTGTGGCAAGTTAGCAACTACCGAAAGCAACAGTGCTGCCAACCTTAAGGTGAGGGTACATAAGCAGCTTGGCATCATGGCTAGGCATATTAATGCCAAATTATAAAGGTGTAAGGCTGGAAATATATAAAGAGCATATTTGGCTGGCTTAAGTCATCGGCTGGCTTCTTCGTAGAGGAACAAAGGAGTTTTAGGTTGACTTAGTTTGATTTTGGCCCTAGGCTCCTTTGTTCATTTCCGAAGAAGCCAGCCGATGACTTAAGCCAGCCAAATAAGCGCTTTATATATTCCCACTTTAAGGCTTATTTTGTGATATTTCATAAAGGGATTACAGAGACGCACTAAAATCCTGTTGTCGTTTTCCATTATAATTTGACATTAATATGCCTAGCCATGACTTCAAGCTTTGTATGTACTTGCACCTTAAGGGTGAAAATACATAAAGCGCATATTTGGTTGGCTTAAGTCATAGGTTGGCTTATTCGTAAATGAACGGAGTTTTAGGTTGACTTAGTTCGATTTTGGCCCTAGGCTTCTTTGTTCATTTTCGAAGAAGCCAGCCAGATAAGCGCTATATGTATTCCCACCATAAGAATTCAAGTTCGGCACTGGAATCCCTTATAATATGGCACAAAATATGCCATACGAGGACTTCATGCTGCTTATATACGCACAGCTTTAATTCAGAATTTTCATTCATAATTTTTTATTTTAATTTATATCGTTCTTCTAAAAACATGACTGAATATCATTCACTCACCTCCATCAAAATATCCGAATGTGGTCCACCAAATGTCTGTGTACCCCAACCGGTAACAATACCCATATTACCGCTCCAATCCTCGCCAATCGGTGGCATACACACCGGCCAAATGTAGGTATTAAATATCGTTGGCCTATCGATACGTATCAAAGCGATATCATTCTCATAGGTCAGCGGATCATAATCGATATGGATGACCATATTGGCGATGCGGAAATCACGTGCCCGTGTTTCATTCATCAACAGGGTATTATATTCACCAAGGCGTACAAATATTTCTTCCTTTCGAATTTTATGTACACAATGAGCGGCGGTAAGGACATGACGATCTGTTACCAAAACACCACCACACCAAACATGCGGAAGACCAGGTCTAAGCAAAGCCGCCATCCATGGCCATTCGTCGGGTTCGGCGGGTCGACCACGTGAGACACGAGGGAATTGTTTCGTTGTAACACCACAACCCCTCTGCTCTGGATGGTTGTTAACAACACGTGGTTCGGTCACATCCTCATCCGTTAGTATTTGAGGTCCCAAGCGATTAATAATACGCATAGGACAACACATGCCAATGGTGCTGGAGGGAGAAGAGAAACATTAAAACGGTAATTAAATTCGATGAACTCAAGCATAAAGGTGAGAATACAAAAAAAAAACTTTTTTACTGGCTTCAGTCATCGGCTGGATTTTTCGGAGCTTAGGGCCAAAATCGATCTAAAACAACCTAAAACTCTTTGTTCCTAGACGAAGAAGCCAGCCGAAGACTTAAGCCAGTACAAAAAGCCTTTTCACCTTAATTCTCAATTTATGGAAGACCAATAGAAAATCAAGGAATACCCCTTTAAGTGGTAGTATTGAAAGGAGCTCTACAAATCTTCTTGAAATTCAAAAATAATTTCTTTATAGAATTTTGCATTGGACATGTTCCATTTCATATTAACATTTTTATAGAACAAGGATTGATCTCCTGTAGAAGCTTTTTTTAAAACTTAAATTTTTATGGAAACTTTTTTAAAGGTAGTCTATCTTAAAAACATCTCTTAAGGACCTACCCATGGTTGAATTAGGAAGGTAAAATCATTTCAAATAAACATGTCCATCTCCGTTTTTTCTGTAATTTTTCTTGTTCAAATTTCACTGCATAAAAACATCTCCCATCTCTGATTTGTGTATTTATAAAGGTGAGAATGGATAAAACGCTTCGGCTGGCTTCTTCCTAGAGGAAAAAAGGAGTTTTAGGTTGACTTAGTTCGGTTTTGGGCCCACGTTCCAAAGAAGCCAGCCAATGACTTAAGTCAGTCAAAAGGCGTTTTATGTATTCACACCTTAATGTATTTTCAAGCATTTATTTTGACATTTGAATAATTGTGAAAAAAAAAATTGTCAACAGAGGATTGCATGACTTTACCTTCTTCATTCTGCCATGGGCCTACCCTTTTTATTCTTACCTTCCCTGAATAACACATAAATGTGATACCAAACGCCAAACATCATCTTTCAATTCTGGCATGCGACAGTAGATAATATGACGGCAGGTGCCTTCTTCTCCCGACGGAGTACGGCAAGATCCAAATGAACGATTTTCCTAAAAACCAAGAAAAACATTTAATTCATAATGGCAAACGAATGCTTAAGAGTAAAGGTGAGAATAGTATGAGAATACATAAAAGGCTTTTTTGACTGGCATAGGTCATTGGCTGGCTTCATCGAAAAAAAACAAAGTAGCTTTGGTCAAAAACCAAACTAAGTCAACCTAAATCTCCTTTGTTCCTCTACGAAGCAGCCAGCCGATGACTTAAGTCAGTCAAAAGACGTTTTATGTATTCTCGCCTTAATGTATGGTAGAAGAATTCTTCTAGTCGCATCGATAAAGATGCTGGGACAATGAACTGTCAAACCAATTTTGAAATTGAAGATTTTGAATAAAAAATTATTAACATTTGTAAAAATTGTTGAAAAATGCATAATATAGCAGCCTCCTGATTTGTGTCGTATAAAAATCTACTTATTTTTGTCAAAACATTTTAAAAGTTTTGACATATCAAAGTTCACAAGCGTTTATGCATCTATGAGTACCTGTATTCTTCTACCAAAAGAGTCAACTTTATTTACACCTAACATGTTTTTATGAAACATGTTGTTTTGACGGTCAATTTCTTTCCTCATAGTCAAATAGATGAGGAATTATCATAAAATGCCCAATTTATGTTTTTAAATGCACACTGACACAAAGTTTACCACCATGTGTAAACACCGTGTTACTTCCATTTACGACTCAGCCGTACGTCTTTATAAAAGCATCACTTTCTTATCACCAACTTACCTGTATTAAATCATTATTAGCCTGACGTCGTTTCCTATAATGATGACGTATACTGGCATCAGTTACATTTTCAGATTGTTCACTATGTGTGTGTAATGCACGAACTGCAGCGGCATTGTTCTCTTGCCGTCCCCAATAGAATTCGTCGTTGTCCGCCAAGTCAAGTAAATCTAATGACAAAGTATTGTTTTTTTTTGGGAGAAGAGAGTTAGAGCGTAGAGAGTATAATTAACAAAACAGTTATACAATGCAGTTAATAAAAAAACAACAGAAAATAATATCATCTTTGGTTCATTTAATGTCATTCTATTGTTTTTTTGTTTTATAATTGACTGAGATGGGATATTAATAACATTAATTTTTAATGTACACTCAAAGAAAATTGTCTGTAAGATTTTGATCATGGTAAAATTAACAAGGTAAAGTCTTTTCAAATAAGCATGCCCATCTTTGCATTATCTGTAACTTACATTATTAGATTTCTCTGCATAGAAAACAGGTTCCCATCTCTGATTTGTGTTGTGTGAGAATTTGTAAATATAAATTTTGACAATGACTAATTTTGAAAAAATTGTAAACATAGGATTGCATGACTTTTTCTTTCTAATTCTATCATGGTTTTGATATCTTCAAACAAGAATTATATGTGGCCAGTAATGGACCTTAAAAAATATATCTGCAAGTTCTGACATGAAATGAAATTCAATAAAATTTAAAACGACCAGTAGCTCGATTCTCTAATTCATTTTTTTATTTACCGACAAAAATCGGTAAAATTAAATGCTTTACGGCTAACGATCAAAACATGGTATAATTGAGAAGGTAAAGTCATGTAATCATATTTTCAGTTTTTTTTTTTAATTATTTATAAATCCATTGTACATACACAAATCAGAGATGGGGACATGCTTTCCATGCAGTGAAATGTTATTACAGAAAATGCAAAGATATGTGAATAGACTTTACCTTCTTAATTTTACCCCTCTACCATTAAGTCTTACCAATTACCGTTAAGTCTTACCAATGGTAAAAAAAATACAGGTTGATGCATCAACAATTGGGAATATTGATATGTCAAAAATTTTAAAATGTTTTTTTTTTTTCAAAAATAAGTAGATTATTACAAGTTTTCTTATACGACACCAATCGGAGGCTGTAATGATATGCAATTTTAAACAATTTAAAAAAAATGAATAATTTTTCATTAAAAATTTTTAATTACAAAATTAATTTGACAGTTCATTGTTCCAGCAGCTTGGTCGATGGGACTACCTGTATTCTTCTACCATGCATATATATTTTTAAACAATGTTTACATTATGATAGTTAACATATCATTCATTTGGAATTGATAACACATGGTGCCAATTGTTTTCCTGACATTAATACGCCCTCCAGAATATTTTCGCGATAACATTCGGCATTTATTCTGATGCCACGGTCGATTAATACGAGCGGAGAGCGACCATCGGCTGTTATGGCGGCCCACACCATCACCATGGCTGGCGCTTGAGTTCTGGTGGCCAACCGAAGGTGCACAGTTTCAGTTGACCTCTTTGGCAAATAAACACGATCATTTTGTTTGTTTACGAACTGCTGGACAAACGAAGAAACTGTTTAGCTCTTTTGAGTCGATTTTCTTTCTGTTGCGGGTGTAAGGCTGGAAATACATAAAGAGCATATTTGGCTGGCTTAAGTCATCGGCTGGCTTCTTCGGAAATGAACAAAGGAGCCTAGGGCCAAAATCGAACTAAGTCAACCTAAACCTCCTTTGTTCATCTACGAAGAAGCCAGCTGATGACTTAAGCCATCCAAATATGCTCTTTATGTATTTCCAGCCTAAGTTCTTGCACTTTTTGGAATTTCAATGGCTTTACACCGAGCTTATTTTTCAATATTTGCCGAATGGAATATTGCGATATGGTCATCTCACGAGCCACTTTTCGGTCACTGCAACGCGGGTTTCGATCAAGTCGCTTCTTTACTTTTCGAACCATTTCTGCTGAAGTTGCTGTTTTCTTCCGTCCACGGTAACGTGTGATGGTACGACACCCAAAAGATTTATTCACATTTAAATGCTGGAGTGCTTTAACGACAGCCACTTGTGGTTTTCCAGCCATATATAAAGAAATCAAACTAACGCGCTTGAATCCCATCACGAATAACTTTTTTGTACGCTTGTAAAAAATATAATGAGCTGTCACTGGAATAATTTTAACGGCTGTCAGACGAGTGGCTTAGAAATAACAGCAGTCTGAAGTTGGTTGCAGTTTTTTCATCTCATCCTGTATGAGCTGTCACTTTTATTATACATGTGTATTTCTACGTGTATGTCAAAATGTATATTTTACATAAAACTCATAATTCTTGCTATCACACACATACATATGTATTTTTTATTTCCTTTGGTTATATTGTGCTTATATTGTATTTTCTAAGACTTCATAATGATTTATGGAAGAATTTTTGCCGCAAATTTTATTTTATAGATTTTCACACCACAAATAACACTTTTGATTAAGTTATATTTCTTCAATGAAAATAGGGCTAGCTACTATCGAAAAAGTACATATGTACTTTAATAATGTATTTCACAGCTGAAATGTCGTCCATGTATTACACGATGTGTGCAATTTTTATGTATGGAAAATATACATATTTTAAATACTATATTAACTAGTAACAAGTAACAAACAATTAATAATAAGAAAGAATAAAGAAAGGAATTTAAAGAAAAAAAAACAGGTTAATATTGCCAACTAAAACGTAAACTTAGTCTTATTTCCCTTTTCTAAAACCATGATATGCCCCCAGTGATAGTATTATTTAAGAAACTGCAATTGCTATTTTTTCCTCGAGTGTAATTGCCCCGTAACATTTAAAGCAAAAAGTCAATCAACTTACCGATATAATCTTTGGAGAGAAGACAGCTTGACAGCCCCAATAATTGTGTGAATAATACAATTAACAATGCGATTTTAAGCGGCATGTTTATGGGTTAATATTCCAATCCGGTTATCTAGGTAGGCATTTAAGATGAGCTGCTGTGAAAAGAATTAAGAACAAAATTAGATAAAAAATATAATTTTTCTATTTTTCATTTTTTTTCAAAGTAATGTGGTTAACCAGCGGGTGTTTTTATTGCAGGTTTTCGAATGTTGTGGCTAACATTTGCAACTGTTTCTTATGACATGTTCAACATTTACTCAATTACAGTTTTCTGAGAAAATTGAAACGAAGGGAAAATTTATCAAATAATTATTGCTGTCTTGTTAATAAACGGATATACAAAGCTTGCGGATTTGGGGAATAATGCACTTGCATGCATATATCCTATCAATTAGTGAAAGTAAACGGTAAGTAATACAAATAAAATAACGAAGGGTACATGAAGGCATAGCACAATAAAGAGGTAGGAAAAGAAAAACTACAGAAATAAAGCCCTGCGGCCATACCAGCTTCCTGTCAAAAGTATTCAAAGTTAAGGTGGGAATACATAAAACGCTTATTTGGCCGGCTTCTTCGAAAATGAACAAACGATCCTAGGGCCAAAATCGAACTAAGTCAACCTAAAACTCCTTTGTTCCTCTACGAAGAAGCCAGCCGCTGACTTAATTTATTTGATATTGGTTCTCAGATTTAAAATGAGTTATATTGCGCTTTCTAAAACATATAATCGGAACTGTTCAATCTTTCAATTCCATGGTAACACTGGATAAAAGCTTTAATGCACGCCCGCAATGTACGTTTTTTTTCAATCATTGATTTTTAAAATATTTTGTTTGGAATTTACAAACATATACACCATGGTAGAATAATACAGGTAGATGCATCAATGCTTAAGTTTTAATTTTTTTCTCAAAAAATAAGAAGATTTTAATATGTTTTCTTATACGACGCCAATCGGAGTTTATTATGATATGCAAATGGTAGACAAATTACACATTCACCGCGATCATATCTTGCCATGACAACTCTGTAGTTGAATTCCCTCACTTGTTGGCGATGGCAACCCTACATCTTCTTACTTCATGCTGAACATTGTATTACCATGTTCACACGTCACATAATCATGTGTGTAATTAACGTTGGCAATTTCTATGAAATCTGTACTCAAGTCTTGTTGTGTCAAACAGACTTTTTTAATTTTACATATATTAGGCATTTTATACCCTCCACCAAATAATGGTAAGGGTATTATGTCATTGTGCATTTGTTCGTAACATAGAGAAGAAAGCGAGATAGACCCATAGGTACTTTTGAGGATATTCATAGAATCATCAATTTGTGCATGTCAGTCAATCTGTCTGTCTGTCCATGTATTCTTGTGTTTTCTGGATATAGCTCCAATATATATCTTCAACCGATTTCGGGTTAATTATTCACCAAATGACCAATATCAGTTCAAACGACCTGAATCTTAGCACAACCGACCGAATGCAGTCTAGAAGCAGGTACATCAAATTTGGTGAAAAACGGTTCAGATATAGCTTTAGATTCCATCCGATTGGGGGCTTTCAGTGCCTCAGATTCGTAATATGCACTCCACAAAAATGATATTTGGTACCAGATATCTTATAGAGCTCGCAAATAAGATTTGGATATAGCTCCCATATATATGAGGAAGTATAGATTGCGGGTCGAAATTTATCTAAAGGTGTAAGTACATAAACAGCTTGAAGTCTTCGCAAGGCATATTCTGTGACATATCATAAAGGAATGCCAGAGGCGTATTCAAATTCTGCCGTCGTTTCCCTTTACAATTTGACATTTATATACCTACCCATGATGCCATGTTGCTTATGTACTCTCACCTTAAGCACATAAGAAGCTTAAAGTTATGGCTAGGCATATTTTGTGACATTTCATAAAAGGATTACAGAGCCGCACTAAAATCTTGCCGTCGTTTTCCATTATAATGATTGACAATAATATGCCTGGCCATGACTTCAATCTTTTTATGTACTTGCACCTTAAGTCTACCTAAAGCTCCTTTCTTATTTTAAGAAGTCAGTCGATGACTTAAGCCTGTCAAAAAAGCGTTTTGTATATTCTCACCTTTAGGTCTGCTACTTTGGTATTAATTGCGTTTAGACAAAACAAATTGGAATCAGAATTGCATATCACTTTGTCACTGTCAAATATTTTTCAAGCACAAGAACGACTTAAAATTTTTGACATTTCGTCAAGTGTCAAATGTGATCATCTTTACCAACTTCAGTAGATCGGCAAGCAGGGTACATTAATAATACATGTACAAGAGCCAATTTGTATATGTAATCATATTACCATGGTAGAATTAAGAAGGAAGTCATGCAATTATATTTTTTAAAATTTTTTTCAAAATTTTCCGTTTGACATCTCATTGTAAATATTTATATTTACAAATTTATTGTATACACACACATCAGAGATGGGAACATGTTTTCTTTGCATTGAAATTTGACAAGGTTAATTACAGAAAATGCAGAGATGGATATGTTTATTTGAATGACTCTACCTTCTTAATTTTACCATGAATACTACAATAGAAGCTGTTTTCTGGTTAAAAGTATCAACCTTGGCTGATTGATAGCCCTTGCCATGGTAGAAAAATACAGGTAGATGCATAAACGCTTGGGAGCATTGATATGTCAAAAATAATTAAATTTCTTTTATAATATAAGTAGATTTTTATATGTTTTCTTATACGACGTTATTCTGAGGTTATTTTAATATGCATTTTTCAACAATTTTTACAAATTTAAATAATTTTTTATTCAGCATTTTAAATTCCAAAATTGGTTTAACAGTTCATTGTCCCAGCAGCTGCGTCGATGCGTCTACCTATATTCTTCTACCATGGCCCTTGCTTTACACCACATCAACTTGTGATTCCTGTCATATTATTTGACATTGATGTAATGTTGATGTAGGTGGAGGAGGAAACACCTATCACACCATGTGTGCTCCATACATTTGTATGGATAAATATGTGTTTAGTGTTATTATTTTTGTTCTTACTAATTAAGATCATTATTATTCGAATCACACATTTGCAATCGAAACCACTATCAAAAAGAGAAACACATGAAACAAACAAAATATCCACAGAGCAATGAATCACAAACAGAGCGAAATAATCTGAGCTTTATAGACTTGTGTTTATCTTAATTTTCAGAGAAACAAAAGTTTTGTTTTTGATTGGGAATTTACCAGACAGGATTAGGAGTAAAACTCTAATCTGTTAAATTATCCACAAAACAAATGCATGACAGAAAGTGTCAAAAATGTTTGTGACACGACCTTACCACAAGATTGTTTTAAGTTTTTTTTAATAAAAAGTAAAAAAACAATAAGCGGATGTTGGTAGGAAGGCTCAGTACTCAATTTCTATCTAAGGGCGGAAATACATAAAGCGCATATTTGGCTGGCTTGAGTCGTCGGCTGGCTTCTTCGTAGATGAACAAAGGAGTTTTAGGTTGACTTAGTTCGATTTTGGCCCTAGGCTCCTTTGTTCATTTCCGAAGAAGCCAGCCGACGACTTAAGCCAGCCAGATAAGCGCTTTATGTATTCCCACCTTAAGAAGCGAGAAGCAATCGGAGGAGGTGATTTGAGGGTAAAGGTGAGAATACAAAAAAGACTTTTTTGACTGGCTTAAGTCATCGGCTGGCTTCTTTGTAGAGGAGCAAAGGACTTTTAGGTTGACGTAGTTCGATTTTGTCCCTACGCTCTTTTGTTTTTTTTTTTTTCGAAGAAGCCGGCCTATAAATTAAGGCAGTCAAAAAAGCGTTTTATGTGTTCCCGCCTTAAGTTCCTCAATTTACCTCATGTTGGGCATATAATAAAATGGTCAATCAGGAAGCTACTCCTACGAAAAGTGAGAGAGAGAAAGGGAAGTTGCTAATAAAAGTATAACGGAAAGGCCTCGGAAGATTCTCGAAACAGTAGTTAAAATTGCAGGCCAAAGGAAAAGAACACACACACGGCATGGCGCTCTCTTTTATTACTACTGTAGAGGCTTTAAGAGAAAAAATAGATTTTTACATATGTAATGTCAAATTTTCCATATGTAGAAGTTGCCCACATCGTGTGATACATGAACGACATTTCAGCTGTGAAATGCATAAGTAAAGTACATACCATGGAAGTCTTCTTTCAGGTTGAGATGAAAAAACTGCAACCAAATTCAGACTGCTGTCATTTCCAAGCCACTCGTCCGACAGCTGTTAAAATTATTCCAGTGATAGCTCATTATTTTATTTACAAGCGTACAAAAGCATTTGGCTGGAAATCCACAGGCTATCGTTAGAGCCCTCCTGCATTTAAATGTGAATAAATCGTTTGTGTCTCGTATCATTGCCTGTACCGTGATACTGGTAGCTTAGCCCAACAGCAACATTAGCAGAAATGGTTCAAAAAATAAAGGAGCGGCCTGTTCGAAACCCGCATCGCAGTGGCCGAAAAATGGCTCGTGAGCTAATCATATCTTCATATTCCATTCGGCAAGAAGTGAAAAATGAACTCGGGGTAAAGCCATTGAAATTCCAAAAAGTGCAAGAACTTACACCGCAACAGAAAGAAAATAGACTCAAAAGAGCTCAAAAGAAGAGAGAGAGGTCAAAATACCGCAGAGCAACATTCGGGCAGCGTGTGGCGGTTTTATTGGCCATTTGAAGGCCATAATTCGTGCCAAAAGTGACCAATTCGAACAAATCTAAACTTATTCTAAAATTTGATGCTATTTCCGACATTTTTTGTTTTCATTCAATAAAATTTAAAAAAAAATGTAAAAATTATGTTGTTTGATTTTGTTGCAGTTTTTTTTATCTCACCCTGTATATCACTCGTGTTTCTCAGATCATTTGATAAATCAAATAATACCATATTTTCCCAATCACTGCACTTTTAAAAACTTAAGGTGAGAATACATAAAACGCTTTTATGACTGCCTTCTTTGGAAATGAACAAAGAAGCCTAGGGCCAAAATCGAACTAAGTCAACCTAAAACTCTTTCGTTCCTCTACGAAGAAGTCAGTCGATGACTTAAACCAGTCAAAAAACGTTTTAGGTATCCTCACCTTTAAAATAAAATTAATAAAGTATATTTCGAAACACTTCTCTTCTTTGAAGAAATAAAACTTTTAAGGGAATTTCCATTATTCGAAATGGAAATTTCCACATTTCCCTCCAATGAATTGTCATCTTCTTCAGTTATAATTGCCAAATTTCTGTTTGACACTTTTATTAATGACACTTTTATCGAACTCAAAATATAACTTCTTTTAAAGAAAATCACCTTTATTTAAATCCAAAATTCTCAAAAACCACACAACACTTTATGATGGCTTCCGTTTAAATTTTGCCAACACTCCAATTATTCCGCTTAAAATTGATAAGCCTGCACTTTATTTGCTCGCGCAATGCCGAAACTTAACTTCTGATGAACGAATGTCGTCCGAGTGCCACTGAAATCGAACGGCAACTGTCAGTGACTAAAATAAGTTGTTGAAGTTTTGTGAATTTCAATGTTTCTCGGCAACATTTTGCTCGGATTGTTTGGCCGCTACCGCCACCAGTTATCATATGCCGGTCAAATATTATATGCCTGCTTGGCTGCCGGTTGATTTCCCGCTTTTTTGTTTAATTTTGTTTGACTGTGTGCGCGTGTGTGTATTTTGTTTTCAACAAATTTTATGCGATTATTTTCGTACGTTGACTGTGTTTTAAGTAAATTCAAGTTCGAATTAAATGTCGTCTTTGTCGTGTATCTAAAAATAATGAAACACAGGCCACATACAGTGCAGAACAAAAGTGAAAAAAATACAATTAAGTTTAAAAACTTCCAACTTATAGTATGTTTACATTAGAGCTTTTTTAGCCTTTTATATGAGGATTTAAAGTGAGAATACATAAAACGATATTTTAGGCTTAAGTCATCGGCTGGCTTCTTCGGAAACGAAGAAAGAAGCGTAGGGCGTAAATCGAACTAAAGATAGAAATACATAAAGCTCGTATTTGGCTGGCTTAAGTCAACTGATGGCTTCTTCGTAGATAAACAAAAGATTTTTAGGTTTACTTAGTTCGATTTTGGCCCTAGGCTTCTTTGTTTATGTCCGAAGAAGCCAGCCGATGACTTAAGCCTGCCAGATAGGCGCTTTATGTATTCCCACCTTAAGTCAACCTATAACTCCTTTGTTCCTCTACGAAGAAACCAGCAAAAAAAAAGGCTTTAATGTACTTTCACGTTAAGTTCCAAGCTGGATATTATTATTTGAAATAGTTAATTTAATTTCCCATTGGAACAACTCTAAGTTGAAACAATCTCTACTCAAATAAACTGAATTAAAATTTATACAGACATCTATAAAGTCACCCACTTTTGTGTCAAACTGTTGAACGTTTCAAAACAACCATATGCATATCTGCACTTACTAAATACGTAGACCCGTTGAAGGGGTAGGTGGGGGGTTTATAAACTGTGAATACATATGTATATGTCATATGGTCTCACTGATCGCCTCTATCATCTGCAAGTTTCAACAGAACTTTTCGCCACAAGTTATGAAATAAAAAAATTATCTTGAATTCAAAAGAAACAAAAACTCAAATATATCGGCTTACAGTATACATTTTATAAACCTGATCATCTTTTACTGTATTACATTGTTAAAAGGGAAGCATGGTCGTATTTCCCTCCGCAAATAAATAAGAAAATTAATAGATATTACATGTTAAACTTCTATTGACATAAGATTTTTAAGGATCATCTAAAGAGAGACTATTTTGAAAGAATCGTATGTAAGTAGAAGAGCCAGCGAAGATTTTTTTAATTCGTAATGGTTAGAATAAATAAAATGCTTATTTGACTAGCTTAAGTCATCGGCTGGCTTCCTCGGAAAAGAACAATAGAGCGTAAGGTAAGCAATTATGGGCTAAAATTGAACTATGTCACCTAAAACATTTTTGTTCTTTTACCAAGAACACCAGTAACTCAGCATAGTCTAAAAAACATTTTATGTGTTCCCACCTAAAAAGTAATTTTTTTGATCGTTCACTTTTGCCCCCTTTCCTTAACAGGAACTAGTTCCATCGTTCCCTTTAGCTCGATGTTTAATTTTATCTAAATAGTTTATTCTTACTAGTTCTTTGTCCTTTTAAGGGCAAAGCTAAATTAATGCGCTACAGTTTCGTGAGATCCATCGGAATCGTTTATAGAACCGCAATCTGTAGTTGTGGTTCAAAACCAACTAGTTCATTCCAGTACGACAAAACTCTAGACTGAATTAATTGCGAAAAGAGTAAGCAATAGGTCTGTCTGGTTGTATTTTATTGTATGTGCAGAAGAGCAACAAATGTATTATTTGTTAAGGTTGCTATCAGACGCTAAGGGTTTTCGTCGGAAAAGAACAAATGAGCGTAGGGCTAAAATCGGACTATATCAAACTAAAATGCCTTTGTTCCTCTACGAAGAAGCAAGCGGCAAACTTAAGGTGGAAATACATAATGCGTTTATTTGGCTGGCTTAAGTCATCGGCTGGCTTCTTCGAAAATTAACAAAGAATCCTAGGGCCAAATTCGAACTAAGTCAACCTAAAATCCTTTTTCCTTTACCAAGAAGCCTACCAAATAAGCGCTTTATATATTCTCACCTTTTTATGTATTTTCATCTTAGCACCTTATGTTCGGAATTTTTATATTAATTATAGCTGCATATTTACAAAATTTTGTGTATTCCTAAGTATACAGAGCTTCCTGTACTTATAATACCAAAACATTATGTTGCCTTATCACTTCAAAATTTTGCATATTATAAAGGTTATAGGAATTCAAGAGAAGAAATTTGTTTTGCATGTTGTCATGTCGTTTCTGCTCTAATAATTTTTGGATACAAGGTTGTAAGTGAAATTTTTGGTTCGAGATAATCTCCAAATACATTCCAATCTAGTTTTGAATTAATATGAATCCTTAGTAAAAATCACAAAATGCAGGTATCAAATTTACAGCTAAGTATGCCTTTTCACTCATCATCTTATTTAATTCATTTTTTTATTGTTATATTAATTTTTTCTTAGGCCGTAAAAACCCGTTTCCTGAGAGAAGATCTGGTAAACGTAGTCTCTTTGTCGCCACCTTTTAACAAGGCCTATTAATAACAATACATTTTGTATGATCAAACAAAACAGGTTAATATCTTATCAGTGCACTTATCATGGCCAGGGTGAAGGTTATCATGCACACCAACTTCATAAAAGAACAAAGGAGAATAGGGTGAACAAGTAAAAATTATGGGCCAAAACCTAAAACTCCTTCGTTCTTTTACGAAGAAGCCAGCCGATGACTTAAGTCATTTTCTGTAATATTGCAACATTCTGGCACCTAATACAGCAGGAAGATAGAACCTATATATTTTTATGAAAGCTTTTTTTAGAGTTTTGTCATTCCGGAACAAACTAGTTCAAAGGAACCATTCCGCGAAAAAAAGTAGAAACAACAACTACAGATTTCGGCTTCATAAACGATTCCGATGCATCTCACGAAAAACTGTAGCGCATTTATTTTGTTTTGTCTCTAAAAGGACAAGGAATAATAAACTATGGAGCTAAAATTAAATATTGAACTATAGGGAATGATGGAACTAGTTCCTTTTAAGAAAAGGGGCAAAAGTGAACGATCAAAGAATGACTTTTTAGGTGAGAACACATAAAACGCATTTTTACTGATTTAAGTCACCGGGGTTCTTGATAAAAGAACAAAGGAGATAAAGATTGACTTAATTCAATTTCGGCCCATAATTTATCGTTGTTTACTCTACGCTACTTTGTTCTTTTACGAAAAAGCCGGCTGATAACTAAAGGTGAGAATACATAAGAGGCTGGAATTGACAATTTGAATCTTTTGGGTCCAAATAATACATTAGTTGCTCTTCTACACATAAGATAAAATACAATCAGACAGACCTATTGCTTACTCTTTTCGCCATTATTTTGTCTAGGGGTTTATCGTACCGGAATAAACTAGTTCAAAGGAACCTGTCGCTTTTGAAATACAACTACAGATTGCGGTTCTATAAACGATTCCGATGCATCTCTCGAAAAAACGTGGCGCATTTATTTTGCTTTGTCCTTAAAAGGACAAAGTACTAGGAAGAATAAACTATTGAGGTAAAATTAAATATTGAACTATAGGGAATGATGGAACTAGTTCCTTTTAAGGAAAGGGGCAAAGATAACGACAAAAAATAACTGTTCACCCTTTTAAGGTGAGAACATATAAAACGCATTTTTTGAAAGGTGAGTATACATAAAACGCTTTTTTGACTGGCTTAAGTCAACGAATGGCTTTTTCGTAGAGGAACAAAGGAGTTTTAGGTTGACTTATTTCGATTTTGGCGCTATGCTCATTTCTTAATTTCCGAAGAAGCAGGTCGATGAATGAAGCCAGTCAACAAAAAAACCTTTTATGTATTCTCACTAAAAATCTCTTGTTGCTCGTATCTGTAATACCAAAAATTCTAGTATTTTAAAATATCACACCTACCTTTTAAATTTTATCCAAAAATAAATGAATAAAATACCATCAACTTCTTCTTTTCCAATTATTTATTGTTTTATTTTATTTTTAATAATTTATTATTATTTTTCTTTTAATACTGTTACAACAAATTGCTTTTTGGGGAACACGGTCATTATAACAACAAAGTTTATAACTCAGTTATTTTATTTATTGGCACACTAAAAGTGTCATCATTTATCAATTTTTATTTCACACATAACTAAAATTTCTAGGTTAGTTAATATCCTAACCTAGAAAATTTCTAACATTTATAGGACAATACTGCTTTGGATTGAGCAAATTTTCTGTTAAACAACAGAGGGATGTATCATCCGGAACTGACCGATCGACCGGTGGGCATTAGTGTTGTACAGTTTAGTATAATTTAATATTTGCAATCTTTTTGTTTTAAAGAATAACATGGGAAGGTTGTTTTATAAAATTAAGGGGGGGAATTCAGGATCTGGGATGGGGTTGTTAGTTATCATTTCTTTTTTTTTATTATATTCTAGGCCATGGTAGTTTCAAATAAAAGGTATAAAATTTTTGATTTCAATATAAAATACAGTACATTATAGGCATATAAAAAATATACAATACATACACAAAAATATAGGTTATATAAATACATATTAGTAAATGTTCTATAATTTGCTTTATAGTATATGTAAATACACAGTGTATAAATATTACTTCTTGTAGAGAGGATAGTAAAATTTTGATAGATTGATTAGAAAATATCTTTATTTTTGTTGAAATTTCTTTTTGGGGGATTTTCCTCAATTTTTTTGATGAACAAAAGTTAGGTTATGGCGTATTGTATGTCAAAAATTGATCTCTATTCTATGCTCACATGGCATTTGCTGTGTATTCCCACTCACAAAGTTCAGTGCTCTCTTACCCATTAAAGGCATTATCAGATGGATGAGGTTTAACATATGTACTGTCACTTTTATAATCCATGTGTATGTCAATATTATCATTTTACATACGACTCATAATTTTTGCTATCACACACCTGCATATGTTTTTTTTTTTTTTAATTTCCTTTGATTACATCGTGATTATATTGTATTTTATACAAAATTTTTATACTTTCGCCTTTTTAGCTCATTTAAAAAATGAGAAAAAAAAATCAAATCAAATAAGTCGATTTTTATAAGTTTTCTTATATGTTGCCAATTGGAGGTTGTTATTATATGCATTTTTCAACAATTTTCACAAAATTTAATAATTTTTCATTCAAATTTTTCAATTCCAAAATTGGTTTGACAGTTCATTGTCTCAGCAGCTGTGTCGATGCGACTTCGTGAATTCTTTTACCATGACGCGCGCATTTTGTTGTCATAAAGTGGCCAGGCCACACATCAAACTTGCATGCAAAAATCCTCTTAACATATTAATTTAATGAACTTTGTGAGTAGGATAACGCAAAATTTCCCATGTGCAACCATAGAGAACTTATGAATGTGTCCTCAATAATTTTGATTAATTTCTTATTTCACACGATTTCTCTAAGAATATATTTATGATTTGCAAATATTTATTATGTATTTTGTGTATGTGTGCGTAAATTCAATGTAATTTTCCCATTTTTTCTGTTCTAATTTATAATACATTTATATGTATTTAAATTATTTTTCATATAAGTTATCTATATTAATATTGTAAGTTACAATTTTTGTTATTGTAGGTTAGGTGTTGTAAAACAAGTGTATTTTGAATATTCTTTATTTAATGATTGCATTGCAGAGCATTTGTGATTTGGTTTTTTCAAAATATATACCAAAATAGAATTGGAGGAGGAAAAGTTCGCCCAATGGGAATTAGGAGGATTGAATATCCTATCCTAGAATCGGTTTTTTCATTGAATGTCTATGAGTAGACTTAAGGTGAGAATACATAAAACGTTTTTTTTTTCACTAGCTTAAGTCATCGGCTGGTTTCTCCGTATAGGAACAAATGAAGTTTAGGTTGACTTTGACTCGATTTTGGCCCTATGCTCCTTTGTTCTTTTCCGAAGAAGCCAGCCGATGAATTAAGCAAGTCAGGAAAACGTTTTATGTATTCTCACCTTCAATCTTCTTCATATACCTGCATAGATGTAGCTGTTATTAGTTCCTGAACCCTTTCTTGTCCATAGTTCCTGAAAATTGAATACTTTCCTTTCTCTTAAATTAAAAAAACTAAGAACGCCGATCCCATGGTACAATTACAAAGGTAATCTCATATAGTCATACGGTTACAACTTTTTTTATTTGTTGTCCCTTCATTGTCAAATTTATATTTTGTTGTTCCTCCTTAGATATGGACGTACAACTGGCAAGAGATTTACATTTATTTCCCACTAAATATTTTATCATTATCACTTAATTTATACTTTCTATCAAGAAAGAATACGATCTCAACCAGAAAACTAAAGGAGAGAGTACATAAAAAGATTTTTTGGCTGGCTTAATTCATCGGCTGGCTTATTCGTACAAGAACAAAGTAGTTTGGGGTTGACTTACTTCGATTTTGACCCTTTAAACCAGTCAGAAAAGCATTTTATGTATTCTCACCTTAACATATTAGCCATGGTAGAATTAAGAAGAAAACAAAATCAAGCTGTCATATGTTTAACATTTTTTCAAAAATTTGACAACATCTCTTTGTCAAAATTTATATTTGTAAATTCATTGAATACACAAAAATCAGGGATGAGAACCTGTTTTTTATTCAGTGAAATTTGACAAGGTAAATTAGAGGAAATGCAGAGATGATTTTGAAATAAGTTTACCTCCTAAATTTTATCATGTATGGAGCAAATAACTGACTTTTCTGCTCCAATTAACCCAGAAAATATGAGATAATTTATTATTTTTGTTAAGTAAGACACTCGTCATACGCAAACATTTTAGGTATGATAGTAATATTTATTTGCAAAATGTGAGTAAATTGAGTTATTGAGGGTTGCCATGTTCGTTTTAGGAAATGAGACTACCTTTATTGTTTTGCCATGACAGAACTGATAGAATTGAAACAATGACGCAAGACAATGGAACCAGGTGAACTATAAAAACTAAAAGGAAAAAGAGTTTGTTCATTTTTGATGAACTAGTTCTTTTCGGACAACTCTACAAATTTGACAACATGTCAGCTTCGGGATGTTTTTTTTCTTTTAGTGAAAGTACATAAAAGGCTTTCTTGACTGGCTTAAGGGTGGAAACATAAAAAGCGCATATTTGGCTGGCTTAAGTCATCGGCTGGCTTCTTCGTAGTTGAACAAAGGAGTTTTAGGTTGACTTAGTTTGATTTTTGTTATTTTTCGAAGAAGCCAGCCGATGATATAAGCCAGTCAAAATAGTTTTTTATGTATTCCCATCTTCAAGGTCTAATCACATAAGATGAATTTTTTTCTGACTTAAGTCATCAGCCGGACCTTAAGGTAAACAAAGAAATTGGGTACCTGGTTCAAGTTCAAATTGTTCTTTTCGGATGCTTCCTTTCACTTTGGTATTGATCGATATCAGGAGCTTTCTTCAAATATCAGAAGACTTCCATAGATTCGAATATTGCTCTAAACGCTTGAGGTAAAAACTGTGTTTCCCGAAATATTTTATCAGTTCGAATTTGTTTCAAGACTGAAAAAATCCGCCTCTTTTTCGAGCACTTATTTAGTTTTGTCTCTTCTTGAATCTACGCCCATCCTGAATTCTATTTTGGTATATTACAAGTCTATTGACTACTATTTAAAGATAGTGATTGTGGACCATTGCGTTCCTACCGGAATGATTTGTAAAAATCCATTTATATTGACATTTAGAAGTGATTGTTATTGTATTACTTACTCTAATAATTACATCTATAGAAAATATTGTGCTATTTTTATTATTATTATAGGGCGCGAGAGGCGAGAGGAAGGAGTTCAGCTCAGCTACGGCGAAACTTTACTCCCATAGCTGCCTTGCGCCATCTATCGGCTACTCCCTAGACTAAAAGGATTTCCAGTTATTTGTTATTGCTGCTTCTTTTTTCTCTTTTTCTTTGAAAATTTGTTTACAACTAGTCTAGGAAACCATTGGATGGTGTTGTTGAGCACAGTGTTGCCAAAACAAAAACTAAAAAAAAGATCTCTTGTGTTTGTCCTTACATCCGATTGTGGTGATATTCAGTTCTAAGCTATTTAGTATTGCTATAAATTAGTGTTGTATGTTATTCTTGTAAGTCTTCTAAAAATTTTGAATGTGGTGTATTAATTTCTTTGCATTGCGTTGCCATTGCACCGCCTCTCTTCTTTTCTCCAGCTTATTTATTGCAACTCAATGGCCTCCTGTGGTTCACCATCATTTGCTTCATCCTCAAATTTGATTTTATCGTTCTTTTTCTCTTTCACCGATACGCTCTTCTTAACCTTTTCCTCTCTTTTGGCTTCCATTTTGCCATTTGTCTCCGGAGCATCGGTGGTGGAGGCAGCTCTTTTACCACTGCGGAACTTGAAGCGGGCCACCGGTGCGGCGGTGGCGTTATTGGCACAATTACATATCGACTCAAAGAGACGCACCACAAATCCTCGTGCCTTGTTGACCACTTTGCCATTCTTGAAATCTGGTATAGCGAAAGCTTTATTTAGTATTACGATATGCATATTGAGGTTATGTGTAATAAAAGCGTTATTTGTTTACAGTTGATGCAAAAAGAGAGCATAAAAGAGAAGGTGCCATACAAATAAAAGAAGACAAAAAAGACAAAAGAAAATATTAGTTGTATAAATCATGCTAAAGCAATATTATATGTTTAATATATAAATTTTTAATCAAAGAGGAATCGCAAAAGGCGTAGCAACTTTTATCGGTGAGTGATTGCAGACCCTTTATGAACCTAAGAATATTTTTTTAAAACTAAGTATGGAAAACCTAATGTATATTATAGTATCTAATCTAATGGTAAATTGACAATTCCATTGCATAAACGTAAAAAAATCCTCATGAAGGAGGTGAACACTGCAAAAAGTTCTTATGTAAACATGCTATAACCTAGACTTAAGATCATGATAGAAGAATATAGGAAGATGCATCAACGCTTGGGAACATTGATATGTCAAAATTTTGAAAATGTTTTATGAAAAATAAGTGATTTTTTAAAAGTTTTTTGTACGACGCATATCAGTGGTTGTTATAATATGAATTTTTCAACAATTTTTACAAATTTTAATAATTTTTCATTCATTTTCATTTTTTTAATTTCAAAATGGGTTTGACAGTTCATTGTCCCAGCAGCTGTGTCGATGCGACTACCTGTTTTGAAATTGAAAATGTTGAATGAAAAATTATTAAAATTTTTAAAAATTGTTCAAAAGCGCTTATTATAATAACCTCCGAATGACGTCGTAAAAGAAAACATAGAAAAATCTGTTTATTTTTAAAGAAACATTAAAATTTTTTTGACATTTCAATGACGTTGCTGCATCTACCTGTATTCTTCTACTATGATCTTAAGCAGCATCGACGCAGCTGCTGGAACAATGAACTGTCAAGCCAATTTTCAATGAGAAATAATTCAAATTTATAAAAATTTTTGAATAATGCATGCCATAGCAACCTCCGGTTGACGTCTTATAAGAAAGCTTGCATAAATCTACTTATTTTTGAAAAAAATTAAAATTTGTGACATGTAAATGTACCCAAGCGTTGATGCATCAACCTGTGTTCTACCATGAACTATCAAACCAATTTTGAAATTGAAAGTTTTAAAAGAAAAATTATTCAAATTCGTTAAAATTTTTGAAAAAATAGATATTACAACAACCTCCGATAGGTATCGTATAAGAAAATATATAAAAATCTACTAATTAAAAAAGAACGTAGGGACAAAATCGAACTAAGTCAACCTAAAACTCCCTTGTTCCTCTAAGAAGAAGCTAGCCGATAACTTAAATGTTGAAATACATAAAGCGCTTAAGGTGCAAGTACATAACGTGCTTATCTGGCTGGGTTAAGTCATCAGTTGGCTTCTTCGGAAATTAACAAAGGAACCTAGGGCCAAAAACTCCTTTGTTCAACTACGAAGAAGCCAGCTGATGACTTAAGCCAGCCAGATAAGCGCTTTATGTATTTCCACCCTTATTTTCTTGTCTTAAGTAATCGTCTGGCTTCTTCGTTGAGGAACAAAGGAGTTTTAGGTTGACTTAGTTCGATTTTGGCCCTAGGCTACTTTGTTCATTTCCGAAGAAGCCAGCCAAATAAACGCTTTATGTATTCCCACCTTAAGTCAATCAGAAAAGCGTTTTGAGTATTCTCACCTTAATTTTATGTCCCTTCAATGGTAGAATCAAGAAGGTAAAGTTATGCAAACATATGTTTACATTTTTTTTTCAAAATTATTCGTTTGACAACATCTATCTCATTGTCAAAATATGTATTTATAAATCCATTGTAAATACAAAAATCAGAGATGGAAACCTAGTTTTTATGCAGTGAAATTTGACCAGGTAAATAATAGAAAATGAAGAGATGGGTATGTTTACTTGAAATGAATTTAGCTTCTTAATTTGACCATGATCCCTTCATTGTCAAATTTATATTTTGTAGTTCTTCCTTAAATTTGGACGTACAGTTGGCAAGAATTTTTGCTTTTATTTCAGACCGAATAATTCGTTATTTTCACGCGGGAAATGTAGATATGGATAGGCTTTCTTGAAATGAAAATACTTTCTTGATTCTGCCGTGTGTAGATCGTAGAGTTAAGTAAATTATCATTTCCTTTTACCGATAGTGTAACTGCTCAAAAATTTTCGTTTAGAAAACTAGAAAAAAAAAAACGTCAGACGACTTTACTTGTAAATTCTACACAAAAATGACCCTCGTCTTGCTTAAATAGTTAGGGTGGAAAGCGAATATTTGGCTGGCTTAAGTCATCGGCTGGCTTCTTCGTAGATGAACAAAGGAGTTTTAGGTTGACGTAGTTCGATTTTGGCCGTAGGCTCCATTGTTCATTTCCGAAGAAGCCAGCCAATGATTTAAGCCAGGCAGACAAGCGCTTTATGTATTCTCACCTTTATGGAATTTTATTAATTTTATTTTAATATATGGAAAAATTTTGCCATTACCATTGAAACTACCTCTTCAAATCTGCCATGATATGTACCAGATGAATTATTTTTTTTTTTACATAGACCATTTAGTCTTCCTGCTATGTGGATGGGAATGTGTGTTCTATAACATCAATACCCTCCCACTGTTATATCAATGATGACTATGCAAAAAATGCAATCGATTTATGTCAATCATACGTTTACTTGCGTTTTCTGTCAAACAATAAGATTATAGTTATTTAAGGTGTATAGATGGACCCGTGTATAAATTGTTTGTAAACAGTAGATTCTAAATAATCACAACTAGGAGCATTTCTATGCATTGCGACAGAAGTGTTAAGGCGAGAATACATAAAACGCATTTTTTGACTGTCTTCAGTTATGGACTGGATTCTTCATAAAAGGACAAAAGGCTTAAGTCATCGGCTGGCTTCTTCGGGAAAGAAAAAAGGAGCCTAGGTCCACAATCGAACTAAGTCAACTTAAAACTCCTTTGTTCATCTACGAAGAAGACAGCCAAATATGCGCTTTATGTATTTCTACCCATATACTCCCAACTTTAGGGTCATGGTACAATAAAAAAGTAAGGCAGCTCCGCATTTTTTGTAATTTACGTTGTCAAATTTAGCTGCATAGAAAATAGGTTCCCTTCTCTGATTTGTGTGTATACAATGGATTCATGAATGAACATTTTGACAATGGGATGTTGTCAAAGATATAATTAAAAAAAATAAACATATGATTGCATGACTTTACCTTCTCAGTTCCAACATGGATACACACTTAGATGGACATAAATGCCGCCCAGCTGATGTTTGTTTACGTATACATCCTCAACCATGGTACAAAAACGAAGGTAATCCCATGCGATCAAACGATTACAATTTTTTTCTTTTATGTCCCTTCATTGACAATTTTATATTTTGTAGCTCTTCCTTAAATATGGGCGTACGCTGGCAAGTGTTTTTAATTAATTTCAGACAATTTTTTTTTTATTTTCACACCTTTAGCTATAGAAGTCAAGTAAGAATATAATCTAAAACAGAAAACTAAAATATTTGCCTATTAAGTCATGTAAGACTTAATTATGGAATGGTTAAATGAAACCAAACCAAAGGAAAAGTATGAAGAAAATATCACGCCTTATTTGCTACAATACAGGTAAAAGATTCTCATATCTCATTTTTAGTCGAATTTGCATTAAATGCGTTACAAGAATTTGTCAGTGTAAGCTTTCGTTTCAGTACAGAATTCATATAGCAGATATTGTCAAGATTTTGGCAAAATTTATCAGTTGGTAGATCTGCGGATCTGATCCTTAAAATCGGACCTAAAGTAAAACCTCATTTGAGGCCTACAAATAAATTATTTGTCTTTATACGTTTAAGTCCGAGAACAGATAAATAAATTTGGTATTCCTGAGATATGGAATGTAAAACTGGTTTTACGTGCCAAGGAAGGCCGAAAATAAAAGAAAATTTATTATTTTTGTAAAATCAGCCACTCGTCATACGAAAATATTTTAGATATGAAAAAAGATTTTATTTGAAAAATGACAAGGTCGAGTTCGTCAGAAAAGGGTTGCCAGATTGAGTTTACCTTTATTGTTTTGCCATGTCCACAAAGAAAAGAGAAGCAAAAAATGATGTATTAATAAAAACACTGCCAGTCAGTGACTTAAAAAAAGCTCTTTATACACCTGGACCTATATGCCAGAAATAGTGTATTTAGATTATTATGACTAATGTCAGAAAAAGTCCTTCTATGTATTCTCATCTTTCCTCCTGTTTAAAAGCTTAAGGATACATAAAACGCGTTTTTAACTGGCTTAAGTCATCGGCTGGCTTCTTCGGAAAAGAACAAAGGAGCGTATGTCCAAAATCGAACTAATTCAACCTAGAACCACGTTTTTCCTCTACGGAGAAGTCAGCCGATGACTTAAGGGTTAAATACATAAAGCGTTAAGGGTGAAATACATAATACAAATGGCCATAGGCTCCTTTGTTCTTTTCCGAAGAAGCCAGCCGATGACTTAAGCCAGCCAGATAAGCGCTTTATGTATTCCCACCTTTAGCCCAGTCAAATAAGAGTTTTATGTATTCTCACCTTTAGAATTCAATCACCTTTATACTTTTTTTTCTATTTCAAAACACTATCCCCCATGGTGAGCACAATGGAGCGGAAGCAGTTTTTTCTGTCTTAAGTCATCGGCTAGTTTCTTCGTAGAGGAAATAAAGAGTTTTAGGTTGACTTAGTTCGATTTCGGCCCACAATTTATACTTGTTCACCCCACGCTCCTTTGTTAAGCTGGGAATACATAAAGCGCTTAATTGGCTGGCTTAAGTCATCGGATGGCTTCTTCGGAAATGAACAAAGGAGCCTAGGGCCAAAATCGAACTAGGTCAACCTAAAACTCCTTTGTTCATTTACGAAGAAGCCAGCCGATGACTTAAGCCAGCCAAATATGCGCTTTATGTATTTCCAGCCTTATTTTCCCAGGAAGCCTCCAGTTCGTAAAGGAACAAAGGAGTTTTAGGTTGACTTAGTTCGATTTTGGCCCTAGGCTCTTTTCCTTTTATGTATTCTTACCTTTAGAAATGCAATTAACTTCAATTATTTGACTATCTTTGTTTGAATTATTTTAAAAATAAAATCGAATATCCGCTTAAGGAAAACCGACTGTGACACTAAAACGACAAACGCAATTGCGAACAATTAAAAATCTAACTGTAGCTACATATTTTTTTAATTACAATGTTGGTATGTTTGGGTTAAACTGTAATTAAAACGACACTAAAAATAACGGCATGTGATGTTGTCTCGCTTCCTAATCCAAACCAACCAAATGGAATGCGAATCTATAAATATATGGCACTCTTGATATGGCAAATGTTTGTTTTTTAGAATTTTCGATCGATTAACGGAATTTTCGCAAAATTTGTAGCGCAAAAAAAATGTTCATTTTCTATATCCTAATAAAACTATGCCTATTACATCTAACATGGATACCGTCAATAAATTCGGTAAGTGCGAAATGGGGGAAGTCGCTAGATGGGAATTTTGAAATATTTTTGGATTTTCTTCTCAGGTCACCATGGAACAATTCGAACAAAGTTTAGATATGATGCGTAATGGCTGTGCCCCCAAGTTTAAAAACTCTATTGAGACCCTGGATGCCTTGCGCTTTGGAAGATTTGAACAAATCGATGAGAGTTCAACGGACATAAAGGTGAGGGGAAGGTGAATGTTAGTTTTCAAAGAAGTGTGCTTAGAAATTCTAAATTTTATTACAGTGCTATGCAAAGTGTATTGCTCAGCTGGCGGGAACGGTAAGTAGAGAGGATATGTAACACCGAATTTGCGAAAGGATAATTCATGGTATTTTATTGGTTCAAGGAGTTTTTGAATGTATTTTATCTCTATAGATAGAATACATCCTAATTGTCTCCTAGAACATCCTTGTGCTTACCGAAACCCATAATCGATTTGCATTTCTTTTTCCAACAATCCGAACCATTTCATTTCCAGTTAACCAAAAAAGGTGACTTCAGTATACCAAAGGCCACCGCACAAATACCGATTATCTTGCCCAAGGAAATACAGGATAGTGCAAGGGATGCACTCAATTCATGCAAGGAAGTTCGTAAGTAATAGCTAAGCTAGGATATTGTTGCATAACACGCTATTTGGGTGGTGGTGTTGGGGGGTCGGTGAAGGGGGTTGCATGGATATATACTGTACTATACACAAAATTAAACAGAGATGGTCTGAGTTTTTTTTTTTAATTTGTTTATATGAGGGCTGTCGCTGTTATCTCCGGACCCCTCTCACTCTCATTTCTGGATCTAGAACATCCCTTCTGGCGTGTATGGACAAAAGAATCCTGGCCAGAGGTCCCCTTCCGCCTAGAAGAAGAAGATCTCGTTTAGAGGTCCTCTTCCGCTTGGAAGAAGAAGTCCTCGTTTAGAGGTCCTCTTCCGCTTGGAAGAAGAACACATCGTTTAGAGGTCCTCTTCCGCCTAGAAGAAGAAGACCTCGCTGAGAGGTCCTCTTCCGCCTAGAAGAAGAAGACCTCGCTGAGAGGTCCTCTTCCGCCTAGAAGAAGAAGACCTCGCTGAGAGGTCCTCTTCCGCCTAGAAGAAGAAGACCTCGCTGAGAGGTCCTCTTCCGCCTAGAAGAAGAAGACCTCGCTGAGAGGTCCTCTTCCGCCTAGAAGAAGAAGACCTCGCTGAGAGGTCCTCTTCCGCCTAGAAGAAGAAGACCTCGCTGAGAGGTCCTCTTCCGCCTAGAAGAAGAAGACCTCGCTGAGAGGTCCTCTTCCGCCTGGAAGAGGAAGACTTCGTTTAGAGGTCCTCTTCCGCCTGGAAGAGGAAGACTTCGTTTAGAGGTCCTCTTCCGCCTGGAAGAGGAAGACCTCGTTGAAAGGTCCTCCTCCGCCTAGAAGAAGAAGACCTCGTTGAGAGGTCCTCTTCCGCCTAGAAGAAGAAGACCTCGTTGAGAGATCCTCTTCCGCCTAGAAGAAGAAGACCTCGTTGAGAGATCCTCTTCCGCCTAGAAGAAGAAGACCTCGTTGAGAGATCCTCTTCCGCCTAGAAGAAGAAGAGTATAATTCTGGATCAATCCGTTTTTTATAGCACTCTTCCTCATGGAATTGTTACGATTTAGACCTTTATGACGTATAAAAAACTTCCAAAACCATCTCTGTTTTTTAACTACAAGTTTACAAAACTAAAAAAAGGAGAATATTTACATATTTCCATTTTTTCTTGGTTGCCATTACAGAAAAGGACTACAAGGACTCATGCGATAAGGTGTTCTTTACAACCAAGTGTGTGTATAATTTCAAACCTGAGGTATACAAATTTCCATAATATTTAGCAAAATAAAGATAACTCGTTGGACAGAAAAAAAAAAACGATTCAGTGTTGACTTACTTTGTTTTTGGGATTTGTTTTTGTTCTGGAAAAAAGAGGGAAAAACAAAGAAAGTAATTAGTTCTCTTCTCAGGCGCCTAACACAAGCCACATATGTAGCTGATACATGGGTGTGGGTGTGTGTGTATGCGTTGACATATCTTCACACAAAATAAGAGTTGTTGTGACCCTTCTGCCGCCCTTTTTACATGCTGTATGTACATACATACCTGTTGCGAATTGCTGGTGTCACCGTTGTCCTGTTGTTTGTTGGCCTCCTCTTCGGCCTTTTCCAAAACTTCATCAATGAACTCGCCCAACACGGCCATTTTACTCGAATCACTTTTGAATTCCATAATACGCGTTTGCAATTGCTCGTGCGATTCATCGCCGCCAGCATGTGCTGCAATTTGGTCATTGCCACCATCTTTCGACTCCAAAACACCACCATCATCGGTGTCGGGAGAGGCAGGTATATCAAAATGAGCTCGCATGGTTTTGGTGTTTAGGTTTTTATTTAAAACTTATATTTTTTCAAATTTCACTGTTTAAAATTGTTTTAAAATTTTCAGGTTTTTGTTAAATCAAAAATTGTATTATCCTTTGTGCCTTTGCCACAGTAAGCGCAAGGATATTCCGAATCGTGTATCTATAAACTACTGCTGCACAACAATGCCACAGAATATTTTGTGTTCCGCTCTTTGCCAATGGATGGTATCTACTTTCAGTTATGTCGGAGCGAGTAAGTGTGTGTATTGGTAATGGTTTGCTCCTAAAATGCGTGCACACACACAGATGGTTCTCCGCGTGTGTGTGTGCGTACAAAGATAATAATAATTTCAACCACCCCCAGCCATAGCACCACCATCAACACTCTCTTTTTTTCATAACAACACCCCGGACCATTCCCACTACAGTCAATGTAAACTGTAAGTAATAGCAACTACCGCCACCATTATCATCATCGGCACCACCACCCACCCCTATAAACAAGCCACCCACTTGCTGTCAATACTCACAATAGGGGAATGTTTGGCATGTGGCATTATTGGAATTCCTTTGTTATTCATCATTTTGTATGGCAGTTTGGGAAGCAGTAAGAAAGTAGTCTCACAGAATTTGTCACCACAGTTGGTTTGCCTTGCCAGGAATCGCTCTTGGAAAACCCATAGGTGATTATGGAAACTACGTCATTTTAGAAGAGAAGAATCTAAGAAAGGACTTTGATTCCATGACCATTTTGTCAGATATTCACGTGGCTTTACAAAGTTTGCACGATTTAATGGTCTCTCGAATTCTTGCAAAACCAGCGAACTATACAGGGTGAGGTGAAAAAAAAAACTGAAACCATGTTCAGACTGCTGTCATCTCAAAGCCACTCGTCCGACAGCTGTTAAAATTATTCCAGTGAAAGCTCATTATATTGTTTACAAACGTACAAAAGCATTTTGGTGAAAATTTTCCAGAAAAAAAAATTATTCGTGGTGGAATTTAAGCGTGATAGTGTGATTTCTTTATATTTGGCTGGAAAACCACAAGTGGCTATCGTTAGAGCCATTGAAAAAAGTGCAAGAACTTACACCGCAACAGAAAGAAAATAGACTCAAAAGAACTTCGCTTGGCCGAAAGTGGTGACCTGTCGAATTTTTTCCGATGAGAAAACATTCGTTGTCCAGCAGTTTGTAAAAAAAAAAAAACAAAATGATCGTGTTTACTTGCCAAAGAACTCAGGGCCAGCCATGGTGATGATGTGAGCCACCATAACAGCCGCTTGTTGCTCTACGCTCGAATTAATCGACCGTGGCATCAGAATAAATGCAAAATATCATAGTGAAAATATTCTGTAGGGTGTATTAAAGCATTATGTTGTATGTTATGTCTGCAGGACTTTTGGTATTGAAAATGGGTCATGTAGGGATAGCCACCATATGGTATGTCTCCATATGACCTCAATATCAACTTTCAAAATTTCAGCAATTTTCGAACAACTATGCTATGCAAAAGCACCTCTTCTCAAATACAAACAGTGGCATCCACATCAAATTTGAGGATTCCAGCCCTATCCCTTCACTCAATATCAAATTTAATACCATTTAGTACTTTCCGTACAAATGTAGGACGCATTTCCAAAATAACAACCAGAAGTCAATCTCAGATACCAACAGTGACCTTAATATCAAATTTCAGCTCTATAATTTCCGCCTTTACCAAATTTACTACAATAATAGTCCGCACTTCAAAAACCACCGTCAAACCTCACTCCAGACACCAACAGAGACCTCAATATCAAATTTGAGGATTCCAGCCAATACCCTTCACCCAATTTAGTACCATTTAGTATTCCCAAAATAACCATAAGATCTCAACCGCCGATATCAACAAATATCGGGACTCAGCTCTTTCCCTTTACCCAAAGCCAAATTAGTACAATAATAGTCGCATATCAAAAACCAACGCCAAATCTCTTTCCAGACCCCAACAGAGACCTCAATTTCAAATTTGAAAATTCCAGCCCTATCCCTTCAACCATTATCAAATTTAGTACCATTTCATACTTTTCATACATATATAGTACACAATTCCAAAACAACCTCAATATTTTAAACAGAGATCTCAGTATCGTTTCAAGATTCTAGCTTTATCCCTTCATCCAATACCAAATTTAGTTTACCATTTAGTACCATTTAGTACTTAGGACGCATTTCCATACCTACTTTCAAATCTTAAACACAGATACCATCAATAATCTAAAGATTAAATTTCAGAATTTTATACTTATCCCTCCAGCCAATACCAAATATAGTACCATTCAGTACTTTTCGTACAATTATAGTACACATTTCCATATGTCCACAGCGACCCTAATACCAAATTTCAGATTTCAAGCACTATTTCTTTACCCAAAACCAAATTGTACCAAATATTCAGCTTCATCCGTTCACCCTAAATCAAACTGTTCCAAATTTAGTACAGTTCGAACACTTAGTACACATTTCCAAAACCACCTTCGCATATATCAAACTTAATTTTCAATCTTGATTCTCATGCTATAATACATGTTTTTAGCTCTAGCACCAGTTTAGTACCATTTTAAAAATTTAGTACAATTTTAGAACTTTTCGTAACCTTAAAGATCGAATCTCCAAAACCCTTTGTACATCTATATACTTTCCAATTTTGATTATCATGACATATTACAAGTTTTTAGCTCTATCCGTCCTCAAAATAACAATTGGTACCATTTTTGAAGATTAGTAATATTTTAGAACTTTTCATAACCTTAAAGCTCGAATTTCCAAAATCACTTTGGTACATCTATCCTGCACTCCATCAAAGACCCTCTTTCCAAATTTCATTCCTTTTGTCAAACACAAAGTGTGCAATTTTTTGTATATTTTAATATTTTTCGTACTATTTTAGTACGGATTTCCAAAAAAAAATTAAAAATGGAACATTTTCCTAAAACTACTGCCCCTGATTCGGCTATTATCCATTTTGAGCAATCCTTCCCCCATTTTTGGTCCGGACACAAGTGTTATTAAATGAAGTTTGTATTAGGTTAAGTTAGTTGTGGTAGTGTACGTAGAAAAATCGATATTTACTCACTAACAGCACATGCGTTGTTGTTGTGTGTTTCACACCGAAACAGTGTCAATTAAACAACAAAGAGAGCTACTCTCGCCATAAAGAGTTGCAAGCCAAGAACACTTGTGATTACCTTTGTTTTGTTTGGCTTTATGACCAGACCAAACAAAGAATCAATGAAACAGTTGCATTGTCTTCCAATATTACATTTACAATTTATTTAATTGAATACGCCTCAAAAAGAAAAAAATCTTAAAAATCTATAAAGGACAGCAGGATAATGTTACACTTAAACTGCCCACATTACTTATTTCACTCCAAATGTGATAGGTCATCCAATTCCGGTGGTGCACGGATTTCTTCCGTTTCAATTATAATGTTATTCGAATCAACAGATGTCTGAAAAATCGAGAAAGAAAGAAACAGAAAAAATAAAAACAAAAACCATGAATGAAGTGCCAAACGGAAATCATAAATTTGTAATCTGCTCAGATAAGCTGCTATTTACGTGAATCTTGTCACAATCGCTAGAGACACAAGGAGCAAACTACAAATAGGATATGATGGGTAGAGGGTACTTACCCTTTCACTTCTATTTAACAGGCTATTGCTACTGCCAATGACAACCGTATTGCCTACGGTGCTAAAAAGACTACTGGCGGAACTTGTTGTGGGGGCCATTGAACCACCAGCACCAACACTACCTACACCGCCATTTCCACCAATCACCACCGAACCAATTGTCATACTGCTGCTGCTGTTGGCACCATTTGACGATGAATTACTTGCTAATTGTGGCGTTTGTTGCTGGTGCTGTTGTTGCTGTTGTTGCTGTTGTTGCTGTTGAATCTGTTGTTGGGCCTGTACAATAACAAATTTTTGTGGCTGTGGGGTTTGTGGCTGCTGTTGTATTTGAGTTTGTTGTATGCCTCTCAATTGGGGTATGGTGGTGATGACAGGACTTCTGTAAATATGCAAAAGCAAATAATAATAAAGGATTACTTTTTTCTGAATGAACAGAAACTATGTGTGCTGGTGAGTGTGTTGGTCGGTAGCATTGAGGTCAAGTGTAATGATTCTATGGAACTTATCTTTAATCTTTTGCCAGCTAGCAAACACAATAAAATTTCAGGATATTAGTTTAGTTGTTATCGTGTTATTTACACTGATTAAACATGAGATGAGGAAATTATTCTAAATACTTGATTGGGTATTGGATGCAAAAGACTTGTAAAAATATTAGAGGGATGCCATTAGAGGGATGCCAATTTTAAAATTGAAGGGACTTAAAAAAAAATGTTAAAAAATATCAGTCAGTTTTGCCGACAGATGTATAACCTCAGCCAATGTTCGATTGTTTAAATATATTTTTACTTTTGTTATGATTATTCAAATTGTTAACCCTCTATGGAGTAGGTTCCAAGGAAATGGGCCAATATTGTCCATTTCGTATCGCACCTAAGTAAATATGATATAAATATTTCAATGTGCCAGGTTTGGACTATATCGACTGCTTCCTTTACTTTACATGAGATATGTGATAATTTTTGGAAGATGTTAAAACCCTACATGAGAAGAAGAAATTTTCCGATCTCTTTCATGTTTGTAACAGATCTTGTTTTGATGGAAATATTAAGATGTACCAAGTTTGAATAAAATATAATATCGTATTTTCGCTTTTTATGAGCTTCATGGATATTCAAATGTTGATCCTTTGTGGGGGACGTACCAGAAGAAGTGGACCGATGTATTTCATTTTCACAGCAGATCTTGTGTTAGTAGAAATAATGGGATGTGTGGAATATGAAGAGAATCGGATGCTTATTTTATTATTTTATGATCGTTTTGGCTATTCAAAATATTGACCCTTTGTGGGGCAGGTACCAAAAGGAATCGTCCGATCTCTACCATCTTTCTAACAAATATAGTGTTGATAGAAACCTTGAGTTGTGCCATGTCTGAATGGAATCGGATGTTAATTTCGCGTTTTATGAGCTTGATGGATATTCAAAATGTTGATCCTTTGTGGGGGAGGTACCAGAAGGAGTGGACCGATATATTCCATCTTAACACCAGATCTTGTGTTTATAAAAATATTGGGATGTGTGTAATTTGGAGACAATCGGACTAATATATCACATTTTATAAGAGGACTAATACATCACATTTTATATTCAAAATATTGACCCTTTTTGGGACAGGTACCCAAAGGAATGGTCCGATCTCTACCATCTTTATAACAGACCTAGTGTTGATAGAAACATTGAGTTGTGCCATGTCTGAATGGAATCGGATATTAATTTTGGGTTTTATGAGCGTCATAGATATTCAAAATGTTGACTCTTTGTAGGGGAAGTACCAGAAGGAGTGGACAGATATATTTTATCTTCACACCAGACCTTGGGTTAATAAAAATATTGTGATCTGTGTAATTTGGAGACAATCGGACTAATACATCACATTTTATAAGAGTTGTTATTTTTCAAAATGTCGATCCTTTGTGGGAGAGATACTTGATGGAGTGGACCGATATTGTCCATATTCGCACCTGACTTAACACTGATGCAAGTATTAGGATTTACAAAGTTCTAGCAAAATCGTATTATTTTTTCTCTTTCTGTGCAGTAAAACATTTTTTTGAAAATTTCGACCTTTGGTGGGGGAGGTATCACAAGGAGTGGGCCAAGATTGCCAATCTTCGAACTCGTTCTAAGTTTGATAATAATATTAAGATGTACCAAGTTTGAGCCAAATCGGATACTCCTTTCGATACTCCTACTCCAAATTTTAAAAAAATTCCTTTGAATAATGTCGCTATAATCATCAAAATACCGAATATCGGGAGGTGCCGTTATGTGGGGGCTATACCAAAACGTGGACCTGCGTGGACATATACCAAAAGTCCTGCCAACATAATATACATTTGAGTACAATTTTATCAACCTACTACGTTTCGTTCGGAAGCTTGAGTGATTTCCACAGACGGATGGACATACCTAAATCGACATTGAATTTTATGCTGATCAAGAATATATACTTCCTGGGGTCTAAAATGTATATTTCGAGGTGTTACAAACGGAATGATAAACTTAATATACCCTCCATACTATGGTGGAGGGTATAAGAATCCATGACCAAACCTATTTCAAATACTTACGGTTGTCTCTGCGGCGTAATTTGTGTCACTTGAGGTCGTCCAATTGTGGTGGCTGTTTGAGCCGCCGATGTAATGGTTCCACTTGATATTGCACTGGAACCGGTAATTGTTACTGTGGAAGATGGTGTATTACGAGCCTTGACCACGGCCTGGCACAATGATGGACCCAGAAAACCAAAATCATTCCTTAAAAGACATACCACATTAATAATGTTTCAATTTAAATGATAACAACTTCAAGTTTCCCATACTTATATTCCTCTGCATAATCGGGCGGTGAACGAATTTGCTTTAGAATTGGTGGACAAACTTTTTGCAACATTGCCCGAATGTGACCAGCTGCTGTTTTATCTGTATTGCTTTGTGACGAACCCAATAGATGACTTTCTATACGTTCCGAAATGAATTTAAGACGTGGTATTATAAATACCTTTATCACCTCTGCTCCCAATTCGGAGAGGCCAGCAATTGAGCCATAGAGTGAAGACAAGTGGGTCTTGTCATTTTGCAGAGCCTTGCTAAAGATGCGAGTTACACGCGTCTGCAAATTGTTGGTCGAAGTGTTGAAAGTTTTACAAATTTGAGCCATAAGACGGGAGGCAAAGTCACGCAACGCCCAGTGATTGTCCAGCTCGGGGCGCATACACAATTGTTTGGAAACAATGCATGTGGTCACCGAAGGAATTAATTCGTGGAGCTGCAAAAGAAAAAATATATATTTTTAGAATTCACACCATTTCCACCCCATCATCCCAACTTACATATTTCTCCAAATACAGCGAAGGATTGTCCAACATGGCCTTGACCATACGCATCAGATAGATTAATAGCGCCAAATTGTTCTGCACCACATTCACTTTGACACCTTCAGCTATGAAGGTACACATACGTGGCAGCATTTCATGTAGACCTGGATCTGAGGACAACGACTGTAGAGCTTCACCACGACGTGGTTCATCCGAGCCCACGCAAGCTTCTGTAATCTCCTTATAGTACAGCTGTTGTTCCACAGACAACTCATGGGTGGCCAGTTGCTTGACATGCACCGTCTCAACATTCTTAAGTTTGTGTATTTTACCCGTGGCTGGTTTACCAGCTGTATCCTTGGTCACGCCCTGTTCCAGTTTTACCACAGGATTTACCGAATCCAAGGCTTGATGATCTTTGGAAAGTGGTGGTGGATTTTCTGGTATGGTAGGTTGTATACCATCAACGGCCAACCAATGTGTTCTCAATGTTATGTCCAGTGGAATTTTTGCCACGTTTCCTTGCACAATCTCCGTCAAATCCATTTCTTTTTCTTCATTGAAATGTAACTCCCTGCCACCGCCCGAAGCAAAGCGGAATGGTATAAAATCATTCGATGTAAATCCATATTGTGGTTCTATGTTGCGAACTTTCAAGGCATGATCAATGTCGCTCATAATCAATTTCTCACGCTTGGAATGATGCATGAATTTGGCTGCATCCTGAACGATGCGTTTGATTTTTATCGAAACATCTTCAGCCAATTCCTTTGCGGCATCGTCGGGTAGTGATCCAACGCCAATGCTTTCGGCAATAACTTTCATGGACTCGGCCGATAAGGTGGTGCCATACATCATATCACCCACCGTGGTGGCTGCCGCTGAGGAACTCATTTCTTTCTTATTTGGAAAATTAATAAGTTAAGTCTTATCGCCGGGTAGTAAAAGTCCACGGAAACCTAGAAACTAAAGGTAAGCATCGTACCATGCAAATTTGCTCACTAATTGGATAAAAAAAACTTTGGGATTTTACTCACTGTTTTTTTGTTATTCCTGATTATCCCGTCCCAACAATGTCCAACTCCAATATCTTCCTGTTTGTGCAGAGCAGAGCGAACGCCGTGTTGAAACAAACCAAAATTAAAGACGTCCCCAATGAAACAAATATGAAGGCAAAATATAATGTCCAAGAAAAATAAACAGAAAGAAAAAAACCCAAGTATCTCAGTTGTTTACGAATGAGACATGAGGACAACACAATCAGCTGGAAACATTCACTAAATGAACCGTGGAATTAGCCCTTTGTTTTCCATGTTATCCCAGTGCATTGATAACACGAAAAGTAAAGGGTCACTGAAAACGAAATGAAAGACGTTCCTCATTGTTAATGCGCAATTTGTTTACACGAATAACGAATATATAGATGGCAGGTGTTTGTTTATAATTTAATTATTTCCCAACAAAAATTAATAGAAACACACATGTAATGCGTGAACTTTAAAAAATATATTTAATCTTATTACGTTCAACATTCGCAGCGGAATGGTAGCTTCTGTATAACATACAAATATAAACAAATAACTTTGACAAAACCTATTATTGCTAGAAAAAATCAACTTTACGGTGCTTCCATGTTAGAAGAATACAGGTAGTCGCATCGAAACAGCTGATGGGACAATGAACTGTTAAACCAATTTTGGAATTGAACATTTTCAATGAAAAATTATTGAAATGTGTAAAAACCTTTTGGAAATTCTTGTCATAATAACCTATGACTGGCTTCGTATAAAAAATATGTAAGTCTACTTAACTTTCAAGCGTTGATGCATCACCAGTATTCTTCTACCATGGGTGCTGTAATTGAAAACAATAATGCGTCTCCTAATGCCAAGCATTCGATATGAATCACGGTAGAAGAATACAGGTAGTCGCATCGACACAGCTGCTGGGACAATGAACTGTCAAACCAATTTTGAAATTGAAAATTTTGCATTAATTGTCTAGAAACATTTTGTTTCATAGTACGATCCATTGCATGTACTCTCTGAAAATAACTTGTATGTTTAAAGTTTAAGGAGTTCGTCAAATAAATCCACATTAAGAAAAAAACGCTAATTTAAATATACTATTAGAAAGCGTTTCGACTATTAAGTTCACTTGATTTGAATCGGAATCTAAACGTACTTTTACTGAATAAATCAACAGATATATAATTATTTAAATTATTTAAATTTGTAAAAATTGTGAAAAATTTGTTAAATTTGTAAAAATTGTTGAAAAACGAGAATTATAATGACCTCCGAATGACGTCGTATAAGAAAACATTTTTTTTTAAAACTACTATTTAAAAATCTACTTATATTTGAAAACACATTTAAAGTTTTTTGACATATCAATGTTCCCAAACGTTGATGCATCTACCTGTATTTTTCTACCATGCAAAAATAACTACTTACACCTCTGACTATGACGCCGTTTACTCTTCATGACACCACTTTAAATTATTACGATTAATGTTTTACACTCCATCGAATTTCTTTACGTTTTTAAACAACATTCTTTTCTTGGTTTTTTCGTATCGTTTGGAGCGCTGTTAGTTTGCTGACAAACTTGTCTTCTTTCGTAAGTTTGCTTGTTTCCAGGGAGTTTTTCGTAAAAAAAGCATTTGCCAGAAAAGGAAGAATAATTTTTGATAAATGAAAACATAGTCAAACAAGTGCATATTACATTTCATTGAATTAAATTGCCAATTTTATAATTTAAACTTGATATAAATTCTTCTTTAAAAGTAATTTCTGCAGCAATCTGTATTGTAAACACGTCATTACATGAGTACAATGTCATGAACAGCTGATGGTGTGTACCCTGCTTAATCGAGAGCATGCCGTGTGAACATCCCGCAATGTCTCCTCTCCATCGATTACATTGTCATTTTTATTTTCGTGTGGTTTAAGTTTTTAGTTTTTAATGCGAATAATATTACGGAAAACTAACAAAAAGTTATAAAAATTGTAAAAAAATATTAAATCTCAAAGCTTAGCTTCATGGTGAAATGGAAAAAGGCTGGAATATTTAAACGGAACGTGTCCAAACAAGAAAAAATCTAAAGTGAAAATTTTGTCTGCCACCACCAACAAGAAGAAAAAATAAACGGCGCCATTTTAAAGAAAAGAAAAAACAAAGCAAAGCAGGCAAATGCATTAAGAAAAAACAAAAGAATGTGTTTAAAATAAAAGAAAATATAAAAGGCAGAGAGTGCACGATAAAGAAGAAGAAGAAACAAAAAACAGATCAAACAAAAGTGAAGTGTTGTAAATTCGGTTTTGTGTTTTTATTTCTTTAATTATTTTAATTTTTTTGTGGACTGTGAGAAAATTTTCACTTCTATTTGTTCACAAAAAAGGAAAAGAAAAAAATTCAAAGCAGCAGTTGCAACAATCGAGTATAGATGAATGTGTCCACAACAACAACAACAACAAGAGCAGCAGCAGAGCAGATACATGAAACTTAAATTGTGTAAGTGAATGCTGGCTGCATACACAACATTTTTTCACTGATTCTTTAACTTTCATCATTAAATTTAAGGTGAAACTGGTGGCCAAATGAGTTTTAAGGTTTGATAACCAACCAAAATTGGCTTGGAGAATTGGATTTTAATACGTACAAAGCAAATGTAGAAGAGAAGTGGAAGTGTGTATTTTGTGGATTACGAATGAAATGGCCCTGAGATTTGATGTCATATCATACATGGGCCTCTTAAAGCAGTGACCTAATTTAAAACAAAATTGTCCACGAAGAACAAAAAAAAAGTCGTCTATGTACCTGAGAAAGAAGAAGAGCTTTAGACAAACATTAGGCTAGGCGTACATTTGTAGCCTCCAGTGGTGGCATGTAGTGCAATTTTTGTAGTCCTTCCCATTTCCCCTTCTTTTTGTGGTGGTGTTGTGAAAACATCTGCCTCTATTCCCGTTACTGCTATTGTTGATGTTATGTCCTTTTTTTCTGCTAGGGATTTGGAGGAAATTCTTGTTTTGTTTGTTTGCCTTGTATCAGCCATTCTTCTTCGTTGCCGTGTTGTGCCGCCACTTTCGTTCGAGTTTCTTTAACAGGCAGACTGTTTGGTTGGATGACTGGCTGGTTGGCTTGTTGTTTATGTGGTTGGTTTTTTAATTGATATGATCGCGCGTTTTTTGCATTTCTTTTCTTTTTGTTTCTTCCTTTCATTTGTAATTTGCATTTATTGTGTGTCAATCACACTTTCGAAATTTATATGTATGTCTCTCGCCCCTTAAAGGGGGTAAATAATGAAACACGCACACACAAAGTACGGTGAACAAGACTCGCACGTATTGTATTTTTTGGTTCTTAATATTGTGGTTGAGTTTTCGAGGCACTTTAAAATAATAATTTTCAAAAAGTTAAGAAACTATGTTAAGTAAACGGAGGAATGGGGTGGAATTTGTAGTGCATTTACAGGTGTGGAAACGAGTTTTCTAATGGAATATCGAAAGGATGACAGCAAGACGGAAGAAACAACGTATAAATGTCTTTCGAATTGCATAAGAGCAATATATGGTCCTTGAAATCGCCCTATATGTGTATCCTTTCACATACAGGGTGCTGACTCCACCAATGAAATTAAAAACCTAAGAAGAAATTAAAACTCATCAATACCATAGACTACTTAAGACTCTCGGGGTTGCTGGCCTTGCACCGGGAATTAAGAACTTTCACCTATGGATTTATCCGAACATCGCCTAGGCAAAAAAAAAATCGTCTTTTTTAAGAAAAGATTTTAATGGTGGTCTTCCTTCCACAAAAAAATTTAAAATTTCTGCCTATGGATAAATGTCAATATTAGCATCAAAACCTAATTTTTATACCCTACACCACATAGTGATAAGGGTATTATGTTTTTGTGCATTTGTTTGTAACATGAAGAAGGAAGCAAGATAGACCCATAGTTACTTTTGAGGATCCTCATAAAATCACTTTCTGAGTCGATTTATGCATGTCAGTCCGTCCGTCTGTCCATGTATTTTTGTGCAGGTCGCATTTATTATCCGCATGAGATGAAATTTTGCAAACAATATGTGTTTGGCCCAAGGACAAACCCTATTGAAATTTCATGATAATAGGATCCGATTTAGATATAGCTCCCATATATATCTTCAAACGATTTTAGGTTAATTGTGCACTAAATTGCCAATATAAATCCAAATGGCCTGAATTTTGGTACATCATCACCGAATTCAGTCTAGAAGCTAGTACATCAAATTTGGAGAAAATCAGTTCTATAGCTATAGTTCCCATATATAAGTTTTATACGATTTGGGTTTTAGAGCGTAATATGCATTCCACAACAATGATCTTTGGTACCAGATATTAGATACAGCTCTGAAATAAGTGTAGCAAATTTTGTCAAGATCAGTTCAGATTTGGATATAGCTCCCATATATATCAACCGATTTTTGGTTAATTTTGCACCAAATAGTCAATATCCGTTCAAATGACCCGAATTTTGACATATCCCACCGAATTCCGTCTAAAAGCAAATACATCAAATATATATGTTTCATTTGATTTGGGGTTTAAGTCCCCCAGATGCGTAATATACACTCCCCAAGAATGATATTTTGTACCGGAAATCAGATACTGCTCGAAAATACCTCTGTCGAATTTTATCGAGATCAGTTCAGATTAGGGTATATCTCCCCTATATAAAGCTTTATCCGATATCATGTTTATTGAGCACCAAACGGCTAATATCAGCCCAAATGGACTGAATTTTGGCAATTACGACTGAATTCATCCTAGAAACCGGTACTTCAGATATAGCGACTTGGTATTTTAGTCCATCAAATTCGTAATATGCATTTCACAACAATGATCTTTGGTACCTCTGCCAAATTTTATCAAAATCGGTTCCGATTTGGATGTAGCCCCCATATATATCTTCAACCGATTTCCGGTTAATTGTGCACCAAACATCCGTCCGAATTCAGTCTAGAAGCAAGTACATCAAATTTTGTGGAAATCGGTTCAGATATAGCTGTAGCTCCCATATATATTATCCTATATATTGTGAATAATGAATTTTTGTTGAAAAATGTAATACCTTCGAAATCTGGACATATTGGCGCCACATATGGTAATATTTTTAAAAAACCCTGAAATCACAACCCAAATGGCGCAACATAGGTTAATATTTTTGAGGTGATCCGTGTAGATAACTTAACATAACCTAAGACTAAAAAATTGTTAACTCCTTGCCTATGCATGCTGGTGTTGGATTCGGAAGTTTCACCTTAAACTACAATGGGGGGTTTGATTCTTTTGGTACTTGCCAGAAAATTAAATATTGAATGCATGGCTGTAGTGGCTATCTACACTCTACTCAAAGTTCGACGCTACATTGATCTTATTCGGAATAAAAAAAAGAGTAAAGAAAAGAATGCAGAAAAAGGTATAGCGATAGCCGGGCTTTCAATAATGTGTAGCTGGAGTAGATCCACAATGAGCTATATGCCTCTGGTATTTCCTCTATTCTCATTAAATAGATTGATAGAATGCTAAAAAACAAGATAAAGCTTAGTAGAAAGTTGCATTAGGAAAACTGTCAGCAGAGGTACACCACAGAGAGGTGTTCCCTCACCCCTGCTTTGGCTCCTGATGTTCAATGAAATATTTGTGAGTTTTGACCAACTTCGAAAAAAGACAGCCGCATATGTTGATGATTTTTTGTGGGTTGGGTACCAGAAGGGATTCGCAGATATATATTAGCAAAATATTTGGAGGTGTGAAATTTTAATAGAGTTGGATGCTTATTTCGCTTTCATGGAGCGTTTTGTATTTCAAAATATTGAACCCTTTGTGGGGGAGATACCAGAAAGAATGATCCGATCTCTATAATTTTAAAACTGATTTTGTGTTTATGGAAAGAGTTAATGGAATCGGATGCTAATTTCGCGTCTTATGAATATTCAAAATTTTGATCCTTTGTGGGGGAGGTACCAGAATTAGTGATCCGATATATTCCATCTTCACATCACAACTTGGACTAATAACAATATTGTGATGAATGTAATTTGAAGAGAACCGGATGCTTATTCGGATCTAATGATCGTTTTTGTTATTCAAAACGTTGACCACTTGTGGGGGAGGTACCAGAAGGAATGGTCTGATATCTATTATTTTTATAACAGATCTTGTGTTGATGGAAATATTGAGATATGCCAAGTCTAAATGGAATCTGTTGTTAATTTCGTGTTTTAAGAGCTTTATTAACATTCAACATTTTTACACTTTGTGGGGAAGGTATTAGAAGGAGTGGACCCATATATTCCATCTTCATGCCAGACCTTGGGTTAATTAAAATATTGTGATGTGTGTAATTTAAAGGTAAACACGGTTGTCTTTTTCGGATTTTGTGATCGTTTTGGTTATTCAAATCATTGACAACGATCACAAAATCCGAAAAAGGCAACCGTGTCTTCACACCAGACCTTGGGTTAATACAAATATTGTGATGTGTGTAATTTGAAGACAATCGAACTCTCACCTCACATTTTATATGAGTTATAGTTATTCAAAATTGTGTCATTTTGTGGGGAAGGTACTTGATGGAGTGGACCGATATTGTCCATTTTCGTACCTGACCTAGCACTTATGCAAATATTAGGATTCGCAAAGTGGGAGCAAAATCGGATTATCCTTTTTCTTTCTGTGCGGTTAAATATTTTCTTTGAAAATGTTGACATTTTGTGGGGGAGCTACCAGAAGGAGTGGACCGATGTTGCCAATCTCCGAACTCGATCTAAGTTTGACAATAATATTACGATGTACCAAGTTTAGATCAAATCGCATACTCCCTATAAGAGTTATCGTACCCAACTGCCAGACAGGCGGGCGGACGGACATCGCTAGATCGACTCCAAATGTCATAAAACGCATTTGGTCCAAAAAAACCTAGGGTCTAAAATCGTTATTTCGATGAGGCACGTTTTGGCCGCATCAAATGATACCCTCTCCAGCCATATAGCTAAAAAAAGTAAAAGTTGACGAAATTGGTGTCTATCGATACGAATTAGCAACTATTTTGATTTCGTCGCTAACTTACCGACAATTTTCTCAAAAATTGAGTTAGAGAATCCCACTATTGTTCCATGAAGCGCGACCACTCGTTCTTAAACATTGCTCAACATATGTGTCTTTAATTTTGCTACGCACAGAATCTCAATATTCCACGAATTGTATTAAAGTAAAAAGCGAAAGGGTAGGACTTTTCACTTTGAAATCAAAATTTTTATGCCTGTCAAAAGTATTATTTTCTATGGTATCAATGAAAGTGCGAAAAGGAACTTTAGAGCAATCTTTTATAGGAAGATTTTCATATATTTATGATATCAAGAGCATAGTCGGCCGAAATGTTTTTTTTTAATATCTCTGGTTTAGAAGAGATTCTTTATAAATAAACCACCAAAAGGATTTTCAAACACACAGGCAATTCTACATATTATTTTACTAATCTCTCTCATTTTTTAACATTTCTTTGCAGGAACAAGTTTTCCAATAAATAATGAGCACATCGAATGATGCAAAAACAAGGAATGTTTCGGATTTGCAGCATCAGCAACGTAAAGAACAAACTACACACGAAAACAAGGTATTGTTTCTCTTTGTCGTTGAAAAACATTTAAATATACAATTTTGACTTCTTTTGTTTTAGAATGAACATGAAAGCTCACAAAAAGATAATAAACATAAAAAAAGACATGAAAAGAAGAAAATCACAAACAGCACAGCAACAGCAGCATCAACGTCTTCGAGCTCAGCGGCGACATCGAATAGCAGGAGCAGCAGCAGCAGTAAACACAGCATTAGTAACAGTAACAGCAGCAACAGCAGTCATACCAGCACCAGTAACAGCAGTACCACCAGTAGCAACAGTAGTAACAACAATAGCAACAGCAGCCATCTCCATATTTCCAATATTGCATTAGCCACGCAATTCAGTATACAACGTACCGATTCGGATGGTTGTTTGCGTATGAAAATATCAGCGATAAGACCTTCTACAACAGCAACAGGTGGGCAGAATAAAAAGGTAGCAACTGCAACGGCTGTGGCTGCACCAAAAGACCAAGGAGAAGCAAAACTAGTAAATATCAGCCATAGCTTAGAATCAATTAAATTGAAAATTTCTCCACCACCACCGCCGTCAACGTCAGCCAATAAACAAACAACATCATCATCATCATCATCCGGTGTTGGAGAGAGTAAACGAAATAAGTCTGAAGAAAAAATGAAAACATTGCTATCAACACCACCAACAGCATCGACATCATCCACGACGACTACTACGACGATGATGACAACAACACCAATGTCTGTCATTGTGAGTCCATGTGCCGTTAGAGAGAAGAATGATTTATCATTGGCATCACTGATTCCATCACTGACAAAAACCACAATGGCTGGTGGTGGGGCGGAGAGTGATATTACCGATTCTGGTTGCTCAGAGGCTACTAATACAACAATTGCAACCACTGGTCCCGAGAAACCCTCCAAGAGAAAAGTAAAACGAAAAAAAGCTTTGCTGAAGGGCGCCCTCGAAGCCAAGCGTACCCTAAAGACATTGAAAACCCTCATTAATTCTCAGCAAAACAATGCATTTTCAACGGATTCAGAAGATGATGAACCTTTATCGAATAAATTGCTGCCAAACGTGGCAGCGGCAGCTGCAGCAGCAACAACAACACAAAGGGCTCCACGTTTGCTACTAACCGCAGTGGGTGTTAAACACAATTCAAATAATATGCTGGGCAGTCAATTGTTAGCTGGATTAACCTTGAATTCTTCCACTACCGGTGGTGGGGGAGTTGGTGGAGGTAGTGATCACATTGGTCTATCCAGCAGCGATAACGATTTACCCAATATAAGGGCAGCTGTTGAAAGAGTGGTAGGTGATTCGGATGATGACGACGATGACGATGTAATGTTATCCCATTATCCCAAGGCCAAAACGAAATATCAATCAACATTACTGCAAGATTTCAATGAAAAGACTCAAATGTTGGGTCAAAATTCCAAATCATCCGAAAGCGAACCCCCCAAAATATCACAAGTGATGGCCCAGCATGAAATACTGGCCCACATCAACAGTAATTCTCAGTCGGAGAGTGTGGCCTCGTCGTCGGCAAGTGTGGTGAACAAAAAACGTAGAGGTAGACCCAAAAAACCCGATAAACCACCACCACCGCTTCGAGATGTGACACAAAATTCAATGTCATCCTCATCACCGCTTCACAATATGCTGCCACACAAAGTGGCGAATATAAATGAATCGGCTGACTCGGGGGTCATATCCACCACAAGTATATCGACGCAAAGTACATCACCACATCCCTGCACAACACTGGCTTCATCGGCATCTGGTAATGATGCCACTTCCTCCCCACATTCTCCCAATAAAACTGTTAATAATACGCCCGAAAAGCAGCACCAGCAGCTCAATGAGACTGCATCCTCTTCAAGTACAAGCAAACCTAAAATTGATATTGCCCTGCTGGACAAACGTATGTATGCCACCGAAAGAGTCCTTTATCCTCCGCCCAGAAATAAGCGTAGACAATCAATGAGTGCTGCACTGGGGGGAGGGGGAGGTGCAACTAGCGAAAAATGTCGCAACAATGCGCCGGCAAACAATTCCCATCAATTAACAGCCACAAAAGATGATTTGCAGCTAGACCCTGTGTGGCGAAAAATCGATGTAAATCGTAAATTTCGTCGTCCCAGTGTTTGCAGCACCACGGGTGGTGGCAACAGCGGGGGTGGCGGTGGTGGGGGTTATAAAAGCGATGGTGGTCTCACTGACACCGATCGTCGTAGTATACGGGATCGCTCCATTAAATCCACAGTTTGTAGTAAAATTTTGGCAGCCAAGAGTGGCTATGTCTCCGATTACGGTTCGTCATCGTTTCGTGTGACCTCGAAACATTCGAAACACTTCCATAATTCGGGTTACAAAAGTGATGCTAGCTGTAAAAGTCGATACAGCACCAAAAGTTGTGCCTCCCGCAAGTCACGAGCCAAATCGTGCGGTTATCGCAGCGATTGTAAAGAAAGTGTTTTGGGCACCTCATCGAAATCCTCGAAATTTCGTCGAAAACGACGCGCCTCCATTATGCCGAAATCAACAATGGGTTCGCTCAAAGACGAACAGGATATTTTACAGCTGGCCGGTTTATCTTTGGGTCAGAGCAGTGAGGAGTCCAATGAATATGTTTGTAAGCCATCATTGGAAAAATTACCCACCACCAGTGCCAGTAAAAAGTATGGGGAAATAAATCGTTATATAGCGACGGGGGAATATTTTGGTCGAGGATCATCAAGTAAATCTTTTGCCAGTCTGAGCAGCAGTAATCAGGCGAAAATATTTGATCTATCCTTGGATTTGCCCGGCACACCCACGCAAGCCAAAATTGCGTTACATCAGCGTAAAAATTCAACAACTTCCGAATTTGCCCATGATTTGTTAATGCAGTTGCCGGTGGCACAACATCCGGCCCGTAAGATAAAATCACGGCGCTCCTCGGTGGCCAGTTATTGCAGTTCATTTTATTCGGTGGGCACCACCAAAATTCGGAAACGACGACGAAAGAAACTTTTTCGTTTCCACAATTCTTCGTCAAGTAAAAATTCTGTTATCGATTCGAAATTACTAACGGAAATAGAAATACTCACCAATACATTTGCCTCACGATGTCGAATACAAACAACAACAACAACGGCAGCGGCGGGAATAAGTGACAAGGTTTCAGCGGCGAGTGGTGGTAATGTTTCGCTCAAGGAAAAACTTATGGCTGAGGCTAATAAACTAAAGCAAAGTTTTGCGGCTGCTGCGGCCGCGGCCCAGGCAGCATCAAGTTCTAACACGGCGTCATTGCCCTCCAACACGGTCAGTAAAAGAGGAGATGCGCGTGACAAGAAATCCCTTAAGAAACGAAAAATGTCCGAGAATCTTGACTTTGCCATGCTTTCGGCAAGGGCAGAAGGTAGCGCCGCCACCCCGTCGGGGACACCACACCAAGGAACATCCTCCTCCTCCAAGAGACGACACAAAAAGGCAAGCAGTTCTAGTCCCGACGATCACAAACTGCCACTGAAAAAGCGTCATTATCTGCTAACGCCGGGAGAAAAATCCAGTGAAGTTGCTGTGGCAGTGGCGGCAAAATTATTTGCCAATAACTCGGAGGCATGGGCGGCAGCTGCAGCGGCAGCCAAAACCACCGCAAATACAAAATCTCAACAGCAATTCAATGCCCGGACAGCAAAAGCGAATTTGACACCAAAGAAGCGACATCTACTGCAACAACACCAGGGTCACCATCATCATCATCATCACGCCCCCCATTCGATAAGTGAAGACTCGAGTAGCAATAAAACTGGTAGCACACTATCACCCCTACGCGTGGCTGTGGGTGACTCCATCAGCGGTGGCAAACTACTGGACATAAGTCCCCAGTCCTTAAATAGCCTCAAACAAGTCACCGAAGCTGTTAACAAAAAAAGGTCCCGCCTGGAGGGCTTGGTATCACGCATAGCTACCACCAACCATCAGGGCGATGAAGTGGGTGCTGGAAAAAATAAATCTCAATTATCATCTACTCTGCAAATTGAATCGGAATCATCTTCCTGTCCACCGCCGGGCGTATTTGAACCTTCCGTTGAGTTAGAGATTCAAATTCCTCCCATGGCCAAGTTAAGCGATTCAGCAACGGGTATTATTACCAAATCGGAAATTGAGTCGCCTCTGCTTATGGACATAAATAAGAGCTATGAGGTTGTGCCACCCAAAAGCAATGGTCAACGCGGGGTTGTGGAATCATTGCTTAACAAAACCGGCGGCAATTTGATATTGAAAAGAAAACGTAAGAAAATAAACCGCACTGGATTTCCAACGGTAAGGCGCAAAAAACGTAAGGTCCAGGAAAATCTAGGCTTGGATGATGTTACTGCTGATAATGAGGAGGGGGATCATCGACTGGACTCCTCTCCCGCCAAAGTTTCACCAACCGTAGGTTCTTTAACTAACCACCCGGCCAAAAAGTGTGATCGTGTACCCCAGGAAGGTGAGACATCACAAACATTTATGGAACGTAACAATCGTACGCCACGGCTGTCGGTGGTGGCTCTCGAAAGACTACAGGAATCTCCACAAACAAATAGGGAAAAAACGGAAAGAGCTGAAGCGACCAAGGATCAAAATGCCAAGACTGAACAGCCAACTACACCCAAGTCAAGGCATGGAAGGCGTGAGGTGAAAAGGAAACTAGATAAACAAGAAAAGGTGGTGGTGGATGTCAGTTCCACTGTGGTTCAAAAGTTGTCCAAATCCCTGCCAGCAAAAACGCTTGACGATGATGATGATAAACCGTTGGCCTCAAGAGCCCGAAGACGCTCTAAACCCCTTAAAGAAACAAAGGCAAGTAATAAGGAAGCCACTGGAGACATTACAACAACTAAACGCAAAGCACCTTCGGCCATATCAAAAACGGTAAAATCTCTATTAGATGCCAATATCAAATTACCGGCTGGCATCGATCCCAGCTCCTTGATGAGTTGTAAAATCAAACTGAAGCGTCGTAACTCCATACACCCCCTTGCCATAACAGCAAAATGCCAGACTGTTGCCCCAAGACCGTCTCTGCCCATAGAAATCGAACCAACCCTGGAGGAAATAGAACTAGCAGCAGCAGCCAAAGATTGCAATCTGAACTATGAGGAACATGATGTTTTACCTTTGCATGAAAATCTCCACTATGTGAGTACTGAAGGAGCCGAACAAAGTGATACCAGCGAGGAGAAAATATCAACGTACTCATCGTCGTCTTCCAAAAAATCGAAGCTGGGCAAGAAAACCTATTTGGTTGCGGGATTATTTTCGGATTATTTCAAAGTTACTCCGGTAGCGGGCAGTAATGGGAATAACAGTGGCAACAAGAAGGGTGCCAATAAGAAAGACGGCAGTGGAGATAAAAAGACCGATGGAGATAACAAACATTTGGGGGCTGGCGATAAGATTGCAGAAGCAAAAGATGCCAAGGAAGTCATTGAAACGATGGCAGTAACGCCTACTTTGCCTCCACCACCCTATTGTGAACGGTATTTTCGACGTACCCAATATGATTTTGAATTACCCTATGATATATGGTGGGCCTATACCAATTCCAAACTGCCGTCGCGCATCACCGTGGCCTCATGGAATTTCCGGAAAATACGCACCAACATCTATGCCGAAAATGTAAAACCACCACCGATTGCAGCCTACGACCATCCCATGTGTAATTGTAAACCCGACATGGGATGTGGTGATAACTGTCTAAATCGCATGGTCTACACCGAATGTTCGCCCTCGAATTGTCCCACGCGCGAAAAGTGTCGCAATCAGAAGATACAAAAACATGAAATTGCACCGGGTGTGGAGCGTTTTATGACCGAAAACAAGGGATGGGGTGTACGCACTAAACTGCCCATACCCAAGGGCACTTACATCCTGGAATACGTTGGTGAGGTGGTTACCGAGAGAGAATTTAAAGATCGCATGGCCAGTATTTATCTCAACGACACCCATCACTATTGCCTGCATCTGGATGGTGGTCTGGTCATTGATGGCCATCGCATGGGTAGCGATTGTCGTTTTGTCAATCATTCGTGTGAGCCAAATTGTGAAATTCAAAAGTGGTCTGTCAACGGGCTGTCACGTATGGCCCTCTTTGCCAAGCGACCGATACAGGAGGGCGAGGAGTTGACATACGATTATAATTTTTCGCTCTTCAATCCATCGGAAGGTCAACCGTGTCGTTGCAATACGCCCAATTGTCGCGGGGTGATTGGTGGCAAGTCACAGCGCATTAAACCGTTGCCCGTGGAGGCGAAGGTAAGTGTGATCCGCAAAAGGTTTTTGGGGGAAATTTAAGGGGCGGTCTGAAATTAAGGATAAGGAGACCAAAACTTAAACAAGGAAAGAGTTATAAGAAAATTGCTATAGAAAGTCGTTTAGAAATAGGTGAAGAATCGAACGAGTACTAGTGTTTGGGAATACGGGACGGGGCCACGATTGCAATGTCTTAGAATATTCGTTCGAAACCCCACGATGAACTTGATTTTTTTAAATCGATTTATGAAACAAGCCTGAAGTATGTCATGGGCTGAAGGAACAAACTTCAGGTTTAACAATGAAATTAGCTGAAGATAGATTTTCATAACCTATGGGCTCTTCCCACAGTAGTTTGCTGTTCACACAAAAATTCTTCCAATTTTGGTGATTTTAAAAGCACTAATGCAATTTAATATTTTGAAGTCCTAATAGGTTAAACACATTTTCGCAAAAATGCATAGGTCCCGATTTTGGAATCGTATTTAGAATTTCCCAACCGTATTTTCCATTGCTGCGGTAGTTATAGCTTAATTTTTGCTCCAATTTCAGTCGCCTATGGTGTAGGATATAAAACGTTTAGCCACACCGAACTTATATATTTATTTTTTGAATTCTTCTAATGCCCAATTCTCTCTCTCTCTCTCCTTTGCAGACGCCCAGTGAAACACCGTCGAAGGGCGATGCCAAGGGCCGACAACGAAAACGTAAAGCCAAGAAGAATACCCAAAAACAAACGCCAAAAGATGCACCGACACCAACCCGAATGCATCCTCTGTCCGAGAGAGAGCGAAAATTTGTCAAACAATATTCAATATTTTTGATAAGGAACTTCGAAAAGATACGAGCAAAAACTATGCTACGTAAAGCGGCCGATAGAGCAGAAACACAAACACCCTCAACAACGCCGGCAACGAGTCCCAGCCCTTTAATGCCGGGCGCCATATCCCAAAGACGTCCCTCAACACCAGCATCATTGGCGGCCCAGATAACAGCCTTGTGCACAGCTCGAAATATTAAAACACGCGGTCTAACATTGGCCGTGCAGGATCCTGAACTCGAGAAAATGGCAAAAATGGCCAAGATCTTGCGGGACATTTGCACAAGTCTGGAGGCCGTGAAGAATCCCGAGAATAATCTCTCTCTGGTATCACTGACCTTATCAAATTCCACTTTGGCAGGGGCCAATAAAAAGAAAAAAGCCTCCCTGAAGAGTCAACAGAAAGCCGAGCTCCACGATTTCAAATCAATACAAAGTAATGTTGAGCAAGGTTTCTATAAACAGCCAAGTGAATTCAATATGGATATGGAAAAACTCTTCAAGGACACACGAATGTTGCTGGAAAAAAATGATGCGGCAAAGCTGCAGCTATTGGAAGCGCTGGAAAAATCCTTTGTGGAGGAAAAACAAAAACAATACTCAGCCTTATTGGAAATACTTGGTGATGAAGCATTGCTCAAAGATTTCCGAGAACCATTGGCAGCAACCCCAACTACTCCAGCACAGCAAGATGAGCAAAACAACACAACAACAACAGATCACAATCCCTCAATGCCTTGCTCCTCCTCCTCCTCCACGTCAAATGAGGACATAATACGTTGTATATGTGGCCTATTCAAGGACGAAGGTTTGATGATACAATGTGCCCGCTGCATGGTATGGCAACACACCGAATGCACCAAAGCCGATGTGAAAGCCGACAACTATCTCTGTGAACGTTGCGAACCACGTGAAGTGGACCGAGAAATACCCTTGGATGATTTCACCGAAGAGGGCCATCGTTATTATCTCACCTTGATGCGTGGCAAGGACTTACAGGTGCGTCAGGGTGATGCTGTTTATGTTTTACGTGACATACCCGTCAAAGATGCGGGCGGTAATGTGGTGCCCACACAGAAGCATACCTACGAGACAATTGGCGGAATCGATTACAATGAATGCGATATTTTTCGCGTTGAACGTTTGTGGAAAGACGACAAGGGAGAACGTTTCATATTCGGTCATCATTTTCTACGTCCACACGAGACATTCCATGAGCCATCACGTAAATTCTATCCCAACGAAGTGGTTCGCGTTCCCCTCTACGAAGTTGTACCCATTAACTTGGTCATTGGCCGTTGTTGGGTTCTGGATCGTACGACATTTTGTAAGGGACGTCCGATCGAGTGCAACGATGAGACGCACTGTTTCATATGTGAGTTGCGGGTGGATAAGTCGGCGCGTTTCTTTTCCAAGGCGAAAACAAATCATCCGACTTGTACAAAAAGTTATGCATTTCGTAAATTCGATGAGAAGTTGCGAATATCGAAAACGTATGCGGTAAGTAAATAGGAAAATTTCGAGAAAAAAATATGATAACTTTACGGAAAGAAATGGGTGGTTTACCTACTTGGAAAACATATTCAATGCAGATTCACTTTTTGCAATAGTTCAATAGGAAAGTATTGATCCTCAATTGCCAACCAAAGTAGCTGTAATTTGTCATTTTGGAATCGTAGATGGTTATCCGCAACAGCTTCACTCACAAGGTGTGTTGTATTTTTGTTGATTCTGTTCTAGCTTCAAGGTTCCCGGGCTGGAAGCGATGGTACGAGACACAAAAAATTTATTCACATTTAAATGCTGGAGTGCTCTAACGATAGCCAACTGTGGGTCTCCAGCCAAATATAAAGAAATCACACTATCACGCTTGAATTCCATGACGAATAACTTTTTGTTTCTGGAAAATTCTCAACAAAATGCTTTTGTGCGCTTGTAAACAATATAATGAGCTGTCACTGGAATAATTTTAACAGCTGTCGAACGAATGTCTTAGAAATGACAGCAGTCTGAAGTTAATTGCAGTTTTTTTCATCTCACCCACAACTGAACTCAACTCATTGGCATGATTCGTCTATGCTGGTTTCAGTAGCGGGATCATCCGGACCTGGCTACGAAAATGATGAGGGTGGGTAGTGACAGGTTCAGAACTTTTGTCAGGCTCTCAACTTTCGACGTGTTCAGTTGTTTTAACATTTTAACAATCAAAACTGGCTGATTGGAAGGGGATGGAATATCTTTTTTTATTTATATTCAATTAACACAGTTACCTAGCCCCTAGGGCCATGGACGGTTTCAAAAACTTATATACATAACTCCTCTAAAATTAAATATATATATATATGGCCAGTGATCTACGAACGGAGATAGATCTTCACTCATTTCCTTGACGGAATCCGACCTAAAGCTTATGGTAGGCCTAATTACGAACACTGTAACATAATGGCCATGACGTCGACGACACTGAATACTGCAGGCTCTGTCAGGACGAGGAGTAAACCGAGACGGTGGAGCACTTACTCTGCCACTGTTCCACTCTTTATGGAGTCAGACAGAGGCTAGTAGGTACGCAAATTCTATTCGACTTTACCTGTTTTTCGGAAACTGAGCCAGCAGTCATGCTTCAATTAGCCAGAAGATTTAAATGGCTAAAGACAACACGCTGATCACAACGTAGATATATATTGCACCCTCTTCGCTTCTTCCTCTATTTCTTCTAAACTTTTCTTCTGCTATATTTTCTTTTTACATTGGAATTCTTCTTCTCTAAAAAGGATGGACACAGTGGGCGAGTAGGTTTCCGAGTGGAGTGTTTAGGCAACCACGCACCCTTTAACCTAATATAATCTACTTTTCCAACAAATTTTAGGCATACCGGCATTTCTGGATTTTCAAGCCCAATTTCCAAAGAAATCAGCTAGAGTTTTGATATAGCCTCCAACATTTTAGGGATTTTGAGGTTGGCTAAACATGTTTTCATCTATTTATTGGAGGCCCTAAATTTTATCTGCTTTAATCATTAATAACTTATTTGCCATGTTGTATGCCCCTCCTTTGCAGCCACACGATGTTGATCCGGCTTTGTTAAAACCCCGTAAACAAAAGACTGACAGTGAATGTCCAAGCATAGCTTCGAGTTCACCAGCAGTAGCTGCTGAAAATAATGTTGTTGGTGGAGGTCATACAACAAAGCAGTTGGATACGAATAAAACACCACAAAGCTCAAACAAATCGAAACGGCAAAGTAGCAAGAGTCCAGCGACAGTTATTGCAACAACAACTATGACGATACGAACTGCCGCCTCACCAAAAATTGTAAGTTTAGAAATTTGTCTTATCCGTTCCTATTTATTTAATGCTAATTTTTTTTCTCTTCTTCTTGCAGACCCTCAAAGAGAAACGTTCGCATTTGGAAAATGTTTTGAAATCCCTCAAACTACGTCAAAAACTTACAAAACCAATGGCAAACAATAACGAAACACCATTAGATTTGTCCTATTTATTGTCAGGACGTGGAGCTCGCCAGCGAAAAACACCACTTGCAATACGAAAAGATTTTGTTTAATGCTGCTTCGTCCATGGAAGCATAAATGCTGCTGAAAGGAAAATTAAAAACAATAACAAACAAATTGTAAAATAAACACCCTTTTTTTGTAACATAAATTTGAGATTTATAATTAAGATAATCAAATCTATATACCTAACAAAACCACACACCCACATCCACACTAAAACGACACGCTTCTACTATCAATTTTACATAAATTATGTATGTATGTATTTTACAAATTAGACATTATAACACTTTTTTAGTATAGAAAGAAAGAGTTTCGAAATGATTGCAAAAATAAGAAACATTTACATTAGGGAACTACAAAATTGTACATTTTATTAGGTATTTCTTTTTTTTTTATTTATTGATCTTAGTCTAAGATTATATATATTAAGAATATGAGTCGTCTTCTTCTGTATACACACTGCACGTGATCAAGAATCAAATCGAAAAGAAACCCAACAAATCATCCTTTTATGATGTTTAATTTGGTATTTTTTTATTCTCAGAACAAATATCATTTCCCAGTTTTAGTCTAATTTTCAGCATCGAAAAAAAACATTGGTTTTCTCTCCAAATTGTTGGCTATGTAAAAAAAAAAAAACAACTCAAATGCCCAACCCTTTTATTTTTATACCCTCCACCATTTGTCATTCCCTTTGTAACATCTCGAAATATACATTTTAGACCCCATAAAGTATATATATATATTCTTGATCAGCATAAATTTCTATGTCGATTTAGCGATGTCCGTCCGTCTATCCATCTGTCCGTCTGTGGAAATCACTCTAGCTTCCAAACGAATTGTTAAAGTAGATTGATAAAAATTTTCTCAAATGTATATTATGCAAACCATGTTGGGATAAACGCTGATTGGATTGTTATTGATTTCACTAGTGGCCAACCAGTTTGGAAAATAAATTCATTGGAGTGGAGTAATCTGGCAAATCATTTTGAAAAATAAACTTATTGGACTTGAGGTCACTTTCTACGAATTTACCTTAATTTGGAGTACAACCTGGCTTTTTGTATCCAGAGGATCGCCAATGCTCTCTACAACATAGGAGAGCTCGCTTGACAGTCCAAAAAATGTATATTATTTCTGCAGGACTTTTGGTATTGAAAATTTGCCATGTGGGTCCGCGTTTTGGTATAGCCCCCATATAACGGTACTCTCCGATATTCGGTATTTTAATGATTTTAGCGACATTATTCATCCGAATTGATTCAAATTTGGTATTTAAAGTTCGTAATGGATACTACAGCCTAAGATAGAAAATTGCCTGTGCAGGTCCACGTCTTCGTATAGCCTCCGTATAACGTTACCTCCCGATATTCGGTATTTTGATGATTTTAGCGACATTATTCGTCCGAATTGATTCAAATTTGGTGATTTGAAGTTCGTAATGGATACTACAGCCTGAGACAGAAAATTGTCTGTACAGGTCCACGTCTTCGTATAGCCTCCGTATAACGTTACATTATTCGACGATTTTTTTTTTCAAGAGACAGAAAATTGTCTGTACAGGTCCACGTCTTCGTATAGCCTCCGTATAACGTTACATTATTCGACGATTTTTTTTCAAGTTTCGCATTTGAATATTGTAATGGCTTATGACAAAAATTACCTATGCAGGTCCATGTCGTCGTATAGACCCTAATATAACAGTTACATTTAGTATTTTTAAGATTTTAACAGAATTTCCAACGGATTTTATTGTTTTTGAGAATTGTCAAATTCGTTCCAAATGGTGGAGGTTATTTAAAGTTCGGCCCGGCCGAACTTACAGCTTTTTTACTTGTTTCTTCTTCTGAAAAAAGATTATTGTTTTTAAAATGCCTTGTTTTTTTTTTCAAATTTTACAATATTTTATACGATTTTTATACGCACTCACATGATCATGATGATGACTACATAATAATTATTATATGATTTATTGACTTTATATGGAAGATATACCTATATCGGTGGACTTTGTTTTAAACAAAATTTATTAACAATAATTGTGCTTATTATTTATTTAATATTTCTCTTATATACATACACATAATATGTATATTGTTTTTTTTATATTTAGTTTTTAAATTTAACAAAAGAAAAATCAAAGGGTTAGTATTCGAAACTAACTTGAAAAAATTATAGGAAATTTTGTTTGTAATTTATTTGCCCGTACAACTTCAACACACCCACACCCAATTATCATGAATTTATTATATTTATAACAACTCTTGTTTAACATTTAATGCTGTAATATATTGAACATACTTCTCCAACCCCTTTCCACAATTTTAGGTATTATTACTTTGCTCTTTATTGAACTAATGTTGTGTTATTGCTGTTTATTATAATTTTTTTTTTTTTTTGAATTTAGCTGTTTTTTTTTTCTTTTTATTCTGAACCTATTTTTTTTTTTTTTGAATATAGTTTTATTTTTTTATACACCATAGTTTTTCTACTTAGTTATTTTTAAGTAGCACATTTTTTCTCCAATAATAATAATAATAATAAAATTCTGCAAAACATGGTTTAATGCATATTCATTGTTATTTCTTTTTTACTAAACAAAATTTTATCTAATATTGTTTTTTTATATTATTATTATTACCATTTTTCAATAAAACTGAAATATACATATATATTTTTTACAAAACAAAAAAAAAACCGAATTCAGCTTTAGTTTTCTTTTCAACTTACCCTGGCATAATCATCAATACTAGGTTAGGTTAAAGGATGCGATGATGATATGTTTAAAACACAACCACTTTACTCGGTGAGAAGAAGAAGTTCAATGGGAGAATAAGGGGAAATAAGAAAATATATCAGAAGGGAAAGTTTAAAGAAGGAAAGGAAGAAACGAAGAGGGTGAAAGTGTACTGAGTGAGTTGAAAAATCTGCAACAAATTTCAGACTGCTTGGCCTTGGAGGCTTTAGTATTAAGTTTGAATTAAATAAAGAAAGAAAGAAATGACTAAGCCACTCGTCCGATACCTGTTAAAATTATTCCAGTGACAGCTCATTATATTGTTTACAAGCGTACAAAAGCATTTTGGTGAGAATTTTCCACAAAAAAAAATCTATTCGTGATGGAATTTAAGCGTGATAGTGTGATTACTTTATATTTGGCTATAAAAAAAATGGCTCGTGAGCTGAACAATATTCCATTCGACAAATATAAAAAATGAGCTCAAGGTAAAGCCATTGAAATTCCAAAAAGTCGAAGAACTTAGACCGCAACAGAAAGAAAATATATTCAAAAGAGCTAAAGAGTTGCTCCGCTTGGTCGAAAGTGGTGAAAGTGAACTGCCGAATTTGGCTTTTTCCGATGAGAAAACTTTCGTTGTCCAGCAGTTTCTAAACAAACAATATGATCGTGTTTACTTGCCAAAGAGGTCAGCATACCGGCATAACAGCCGATGGTCGCTCTCCGCTCGTATTAATCGACCGTGGCATCAGAATAAATGCCGAATGTTATCGCGAAAATATTCTGGAGGGTTGTGTTAAAGCCTTGGGCACGCAAACATTTTTGCCGCAGACCTTGGACATTCAACAGGACGCACTCAGCTCGCGCCACCCTAGGATGGTTACAAAATGAGGTTCCTCGCTTCATTTCCAGCACACAATGGCCACCAAAATTTCCGGATACCAATCCGTTGGACTATTGTGTCTGGAGTATTTCGGAAAGCAAGGTTGGCACTAAAAAAATACCAAAGTGTCGATCACCTCAAGCAAGCGCTTCGTCGGGAATGGGCCGCAGAGCAACATTTGGGCAGCGTGTGACGATTTCATTGGACATAATTCGTGCCAAAGGTGACCAATTCGAGCAAATCTAAACTTATTCGAAAATTTGATGCTATTTCCAATATTTTTTGCTTCATTCAATAAAATTAAAAAAAATGTAAAAATTATGCCGTTTGACTTTGTTGCAGTTTTTTTATCTCACCCTTTATCCACGTTGTGATCAGCGTGTTGTCTTTAGCCATCTTCTGGCAAATTGAGGCATGACTGCTGGTTCGGTTTCAGAAAGAGGACAAGTCTGACTCGATAAAGTGTTGGTTAGTGTCAGAGAGACGATGGAGCACTTACTCGTCCTGACAGAGCCTGCAGTATTCGGATTTGCCTCCCCAACACCGCCCCCCCCCCCCCCCATTTTTAAGTCATGGTCCTTATGTTGCAGTGACCTGTAATTAGGCCCACCATAAGTTTTAGGTCAGATTTCGTCAAGGTGGCTTCACTGAGAGCTTTTAAGGCCGCCTGACTTTCCACATATATAGTCACCGGTCTGTTCAGTTCATTGATTCTGTTTTCCATGGCTTTCCTGATAGCAAAGATTTGATATGTGGCTAAGTCCCCAACTCTTCCCTATAGAGTTTCTACAAGAATAAAGTGCGATTAAGCCACGCTTCGCTCGCTCCTCGATGTTCCTTTTCCAAATTAATTTTTGTTCAAGGACAGTACCGAGGCACTTAGCGTCAATACGAGGTGCCGCACTTCCTCAAGAACCTAATCATACTTCTGGTGCAACCATGGCCAGCAATGATCGCAATGGCAATTTGCTAAAATAAAGTTCACAACAGATCTTATCTGTAAATCTTGCTCCGTACAACCATAACGATGTGTTAAGCAGAGCCAAATTAAAAACTAAAGGAAAAAACAAACAAATTAAAAATAAACACACCTTTATTAAAAAAATTCAATGAAAACACAAAAAAATAGTCAATGGCTGATTAATATTCTGCACCCGACATGGAATTACAAACGTCTGCCCATTGCATTTTCCAAAATTTCAACATATAAGTCCTTATACGTACTTTTGAAATTTTTCCAATTTGGTGTTTCGGCGACGGCCGTAAAGTGGTTTACTTGTTATGTGTGCATATGCTCGGCATACGATTAGGCCATCCGACTGTCACAGAGACTCCCAGGGCTAGGGATCTCAACCCGCCAGTCGAATCCAACACACTAACATTGAAAGGGGACTTTACTACAATTGCTCTACTCTACGATATACAAAATAGGAGTCATCATACAGGGATCTCGGTGGATCGATCCCACACTCGCCCAACCTACCTGGATCCAGTATTTCCATTTCTTGCGTTTCTCTGAATCCCCTTGAACCACACGCTTCGAATCACACACTTACTTCATACCACCTTCCCCCCAAGTTATACAAATTTAGCAACACATATTAGTATCTACTGTTTACAAAAGAATCATTTTTAATTTTATTAAAAAAAATACGTTAGCTTTAAATATTTTCTTAATTTTTTTCTCTACTATTTTTTTTTTCTTACACTAAAATTGACAAACTGTATGGTATAAAAAAAACAAATTAAGAATAATACCGGGCTTTCTTAAATCTATGGCTTTAATTACTCGGTAGAAACCAATATATTATCCTTTGCCTTGCTTTTCCCGCGCAATATTCACGCGTCTATACGAAATTACTAGCCACCTAAAAGAGCTCTCTTAACCGGCCTAATTGCCGCTAAAATTCCACGGCCTAAACTATCAGATCGAATCACAAGGACTCAAGATAATTTTACTGTAACACCTCCTAGCCTTTGAAAATAAACGCGGTATTTTTCCCTTACAAACTGATTATTACTTAAATCCTAAGAACTATAACCTATCTTATTACTAAATCTTTATACTGAATATTATATTTTTTTTCTCGAAATTTATGATTATTAACTCTTTTTTTCTTTTCTTTTAGTTCCAAAAAAGGAGACAGCAAATTTTATGGACGTCACATATATATATAAATATATCTATCACAACACAACGGTAAGACACCTTTTACCTGAGCAGTGATGTATAACGTTATTGATTAATTCTTCTTATCTCTTCTTCCAGTTTACGCTTCTTTCCGGAGGAAACAGATTTTGAACGCCAGACAAACCCTCAAATGAAGCTGGACTTGTTGACTGGTCCTTTTACAATGCCGGCGTTCTGGGCGGGATCAATAACAGGCACAGCAAAAAGCTCAAAGTTGCAGCTGGCCAGTTTACAATTCAAATCTCCACACCCTCAATGTAACTTTTTTGGCTTTTTTTTTCCTGTGGACAACTTGCCACTACCTTGCGTTACCAAAAAGAAAAGGCAATTTCCCGCCGTTGTGCTGACCAAAACCGGACAATTTTCGGTGCTTCCAAAAAAGCTTGATACACCACCGGAATATTCCTGTTGGAGCAACACACATCACATATAACAACACATTACTCAACAAACAACTGTTACAAACTACTTACACAATAAAAAAAATCGCAACACACAAATTAAATTTTTCCACTTCTGCACTGCTCTCTTGCTAAGTTTCACCGGTAACGTCTTATTCTTAACTTTGGCTTTTCTTATGCTCGCAGCCTTTTATACCCCTCTTCTCAGTGAATCCCGCCAGACGCTCATTTTCCACGAAACACCATTTTCCTGAGCCATTTTCAATTTTCATTCCTTTTTCTTTTCAACTGTCAATAGCCATTTTTTTATTCTATTGTGAATTCTCATTTCACCTCACCCCTGAGTCTCTCATTTAAAAATCAACGGCTGTCTAACTATTCGCCCAACCCTTTTCACATACGTTACCAACTCGCCCAAACAACGCCAATTTCCTTTAACCTTATACGGCAGCGAGACATTAGCAAAAACATTTTAATTATTTCTCTCGAAATCTTTTGTTTTTCTATTCTTCTGATATTTCTTAAATTTTTATTTCAACGTGCCGCTTTTTTTTCATAATCATTCATTCCAATTGTGTCTAAACAAAATTTTTATCATATTTATAGTAGGTTCCCACCTACTCAGCAATCATAGGGCTGCCTAGTCACTTCTTAGCCTGAGTCACCCTGTCATTTACTACCTTTATAATACTCTTTTACTCAACCCTGTTCGAGCCTAATTTCGTACGTAGCGAACCCTAACAAACCATTTCCGGCATTTTGATCCCATCGCCACCCAGACTACACACCCCGCAGAAATTAGAAGCAAATTGAAATCTCGAAGCATCCTCACTAAAAACCCAGGAAAACTGAGCAAATCCATTTGAGGACCAATTATGGGATGCACTACCAACAGAATTGGGATAATTTCTGCGGTGGTTGTGGACAGGTTTTGCCAAAAAAACACGGCCCCATATATTTGTTCCCTTTTTGCGCCGCATGTGAACGGCCTGCAACAAAACTTCAACTTCGGCCAGAAAATCGAGGACGGAGGTGATGTGCACGGCCGCATTACTCATTTACGTGGGGACATCCCACTCCCTGAAGGTCTCATGCCGGGCATAAGCTCCGAACAGCAGGCTGGTCAAAGCCCTCCCCCTCATGCTGGTAAATATCCCCCATCGAAATAGAACCACATAAATTAATTTATCTTTCTAATCTGTCCATCAGATCTGTGAAACATGTCTTGCTGGTTCGCCTGATAATTCTCGATCCGACACCCTGAAAATATCGTGTCACTACCAAACATCGATCGAGTTCCGAGTCCGGGAAACCCGCTGGTAATTCCCCTATAGCCGGTCAACATTTGGGAAGATCAAAAACGCTTATAAATTTTACAATACACATTCGGTTATTTATAAAATCCCGCATTCAGTATTTCTACTAAAACAAGCTCAGAGGAACGGATGGGATTTATCGGCCCACTCCTTTGGGACCTTCACTACAAAAGGTAAACATCCGGAACAACCCAATAATTCTATCAACCCAAGACCTTGTGTGGAGTTGGAATATATTTGTCCTCTCCGGCGGATCTACACTGGTAATACCCACCAGCTCTGAATGAAAAATTCTCCGATTCCATCAAAATTTCACACATTCTTCTTGGTTATGGATATAATCTTCAAAGTTGGAATCTATACGTACTTTGATACACAAATAATTTGATCAAATTGTTGAAATCATGGTACAATAAAAAAGTAAGGTAGAGCTAAAAGCTGATTACAATTTTTTCTTCCAAGTGTGCCCGACTTCTGTCATGATTGTGTATTATTTGTTTTAAAAAAAAAAAAAAAAATTTTCAAGGTCAATGTTTAAAAAAAACGAACACTGCGTGGCCGGCGTTCAAAATATTACCCTGTTTTGTCCTGGAATTGAAGGATTAAACAGTTTGGATCACATTTTTGAAAAAAAAAAATCCGTGCGTTCAATAACGCATTCAAAAAATAACAACAATTATCAAAACATTTTGTCGCATACAATTTTGAAGTATTTTGACAGAAAGCGGGCATAGCCCTAGGAACGTATTTCGGTACTTTTTTGTTTGTTTTGAACATTTAATAACTTTCATTCCTTAATAGGTGGTGAAACATTTTGCATGCGGAAATATTTGTGCCTATGCCTGTCTTGTCGTCGTGGTTGCCGAAGAACGGATTTTGTATGCGGTATATGCTGATGTGATTGATAGGTAAAAAAATACCATAATCGTGGTGTCTACGTGATTGTCTGGTAGAATGTAGTTTTATGTATGTTCGCTTTTTATGTATGGGAATCTTTCATTAATTTATGCCGGAATAAACCAGATTGTGCTATTTTTATCGCCACCGGGGGTGTTTAAGTACATTTTTTTTTTTTTTTTTTTCAAATTTGTATGTCGCGTAGAATATTTTGTAAAAGAAATTAGACAGCTGTGATAAACGTGAAACTAGAGTCTGATTAACTTGAATTACCCAATTAGGGGAACAGATCAGCTGATATTTTGAACCTTAATACGAATGAATTCAGTACGAAGGTGATTTTACTATCGTATTTAGTTTCCTCAGACACATTTTCTATGTTTTGTTTTGATTCATTCGATTTTGAATTAAACCATTGCTGATAAATGTGATATAGAATTGGTAACAAATGTGAAATAGTTTTTGAGAGTTATTTTAGAATTCTTTTTATAAAAATTGAATTGGGAAAGGGGATTGAAAAGACTTTCTTTTCCACTTATCTTTTAAGATCTTTTGCATGACAGATTCCAATCGCCTTTCCATTTAGATCTTCGAGAGAATACATATTATTTCCTATGGGCTTTACTATACGACACTTCGTAAATTTCCGGGCAAACTTAGCATTAAAATTTTTCCCAAAATCGCTAAGAACATAGTTTCTTTTATATACCTCTTGCCCCGGAGAGAAAATAATCGTACGAGCCCTTGCGTTATACCTTTTTGCGCTTTGTTGATAAGCCTGATGCATATTCTGTCTAATTTTATTTCGGATTAGTTCCATCTTGTCGTTACGATCTAAATGTATAATTTCATGGTCCGCCAATGAGTGGAGCTTCCGAGCTAATTTATAATCTGAACCATGGGTATACATACTATGACCAAACAGCGCGAAAAATGGCGTTACACCAGTTGCAGTATGAATCGATGTTCTTAAGGCGCACTCTATGTCTGTTAGATACAGGTCCCAATCTCTGTGGTCATTTTCTAGATATGCCCTAATCGCCGCCAATACTGATTGATTGACTCTCTCAGATGCATTAGACTGCGGAGCATATGGAGCTGTTTGGATATGATTGATTCCATATGTTTCAATCATGTCTTTGAAAGTTTTAGATACGAACTGTGCCCCATTGTCGGAATGTATCGTCTCGGGTACGCCAAACTTACGAAATATATCCTCAACCATAAATTTTACCACATTGGAAGCTGTTGCCTCTTTCATTGCCTTAAGAAATGTAAATTTGCTAAAGTGGTCCACCACTATAAATATAAAGGCGTTGCCACTTTTAGACCGGGGGTATTTCCCGAGGAAGTCAACGTAGAGTTTCTGGAAGGGAAGATTTGTCACGACTTCATTTCCGATCTGAGGCTGAGTATTTTCATTGGTAGGCTTTGTCTCTTTGCAAACAGTACATTTAGACACATATTGCCTAACCTGGGATACCATTAGAGGCCAGTAATATTTTTCTCTTAAACGAAAAATGGTTTTTGATATGCCTCCGTGAGCTGACGTAGTTTTATCATGGGCTTGCTCTATTAAAGAATGGGTCAAAGACTCTGGGACCCACAATTTCCACTGAAACTCTTGTGTTTCTGGGTTATAGGACTTGTGATCTCTTTTAAATACCATATTGTCGACAATCTTTAGATCGGGGAGATTCTCCTTTTTATTTGCTATAATTTCTCTAAGCTGTTTGTACGAATCACTTTCAAACTCGGTGGTCTCGAATTCAAAAACTCGATTCATGTCTATTTCGTCGGCATTGGGTAGGCGGGATAGCATATCGGCGACAACATTTTCCTTTCCTTTTCGGTGCTCGATTTTGAAGTTAAATCCCTGAAGTTGCAATGACCAGCGAGCTAAACGACCACTGAGGTCCTTTAGACTCATCAGCCATTGTAAACTAGCGTGATCTGTTATCACGGTGAATTCCATTAGCTCCACGTAAGGACGGAAAGTTTTGATAGCCATCACCGCCGCCAAGCATTCCTTCTCTGTCACGCTATAATTTCTCTGACACTTATTGAGTTTTTTCGAATAGAAAGCGATCGGATGTTCATGTCCTTCGGCATTCAGCTGAAATAGAACAGCGCCGATGCCATATTCCGAAGCATCACATTGAATAAAAAAGGGTTTGGAAAAATCTGCGTGGCGTAACACCGGTGCGGAAGTTAAGGCCCTCTTTAAGTTTTCAAATGCCTCCTTTGCCTTTTCCGTAATTACGAATTTGGGCGATTTCTTCAGGGTATCAGTAAGGGGAGCTGAAAGTGACGCGAAGTCTTTAATAAATCTTCGGTACCATCCTGCTGTACCCAGAAAACTTCTCACTTCCCTAGCACTTTTGGGAATTCTAATTTTTCGAATTGCTTCTACTTTTTCGGGGTCAGTACGCAACATGCCTTCTCCAATAATAAAACCCAAATATCTCAACTGACGAAAACAAAATTTTGACTTGGTTAACCCGATTGTTAAATTCGCTCGGTCAAGGCAATCGGCTACTTCATTCAATAGACGAAGATGCTCGTCGAAATCACTTGAAATAATCAACAGGTCGTCCAGGTACACAAAGACATTCTCCTTGAGTCGTTGAGGAATGACTTTGTCCATCAGTCGACATAACCTTTGTGCAGCATTACACAATCCAAACGGCATCACACGGAATTGATACAATGGACGACCTGGGACCGTAAAAGCGGTGTACGGCTTGCTTTCTTCGTCTAATTCGATTTGCCAGAACGCATATTTAAGATC